GAAGTGTAGGAGACCTATTCTCTACTTCAGATAACGACGCATGATTTAGAAACTCCTTAGCAGTTTGTTTAAGAGTCAGTTCTGGTGCGATGCTTACTTAATAATTTGCATCAAGGCTCTGATTTGAATCGTTTTAATATTTAGCCATAGTGAATAAAACATAAACAGTTATGACAAAAAAAAATTATCTCATGGGCATTACTAGGATAAAATTAAATGTATTTGTCGTAACATAGTTTTGGAGAATATTAGAATTCTTGGTTTTTTTTATTTTATAGAGCCAATTATCATAATTCATCTTTCTGTAACACAAAATGTTAAACGCTAGAGTAAAACTTAACAATTTTATATAATTGACTTTACAATGGACATGCAAAGGATTTTTTTGAAAATCAAATAATAAAGTTTAAACTCCGATGGCGAACGCACTGAGTAGGCCCCCAGTTTCAAAATAACTGTGACGATCCTGACGTCAACTAGAAACCGGAGATGTGACCAAGTCAGATTTTTCATTAGAAGAGTGTGATATATATTTCATCTCTTTCAAGAGTTTTCTAATGGGATATATATATATATTGTGAAAGCATTCTAAGAGCTAACAGTATCAAATTGGTTCCCCTAGTGGTATCTATGAAAAGGCTCCGATAATTAAAAAACAAGGTATAAAATAAAATTAAGAAAAATAATACTTTTATCTTCGTAACAGAGGTTTTTATACTTTCTCCGATTTGGCTTAGATTGTTAATTTTACATATTTTTAAATACTTGCAGATGCTGAAATCGGTGTTACTCCTGACACTTTTGACTACATGTCTTTCTCTTCCACTTGAAGATAGCAACGTCCAGAGCATTGTACAAGAAGATGGTCAGCCGTTCCCACAAGCAGAACAACAAATTGATGAAGCTGGAACTTTACAGTTACCTGAACGTCAAATTTTAAAAATAGAAAGTTCGGGTCAGCCTCTTGAAGGAAAACCAGATAGTGATCTTAAGACGGAACCCAGTTATTGGGGTGGTTACGGAGAATATAATGGACATGGGCGCGATTTCGGTCACGGTTATGGACACGACGGACACGGGCATGACCACGGACACGGGCATGACCACGGACACGGGCATGACTACGGACACGGGCATGGACACGGACACGGACACAACTATGGCGGTCATGGTAATGGATATGGTGGATTTGGCATCGAATTCGGAATCAACCGCAGGAATTACCATCAGCACTCATATTATCCTGGATATGATTATTACAGACCAGGGTAAGTTGATACATTATATTAGTAGATATTAAGTTGATTTTTTTAAACATTAATATCGTTAACATAGCAAAGACTAACATAATATAGGTATTTGTCGCCGAAATGTACGTACTGCTAAAGGACAGGCCTACCCTATAGATGGAATCGAATCGAATATGGAGAATGGCAGTGACTCAACATGCAGGACGTATTAATGTGCCTTCTGAAGTACGGAGGACCTTGTGGTCACCCATTCTATTAGCGGCCCTAGCGGAAGTTGCTTAACAACCGTAACGCAGTTCGAACGCGCTAACAACTACACCGTCGACCCCCTCTATTACTTATATAAAGGTCTTTAATAATTTTTACTTTTTTAGGATCAACCCCTACTACTACCCTCAAACTTACTACCTGGGACTAGGAGGAGGCTCAATCTACTGGTGAAATAGTTATTTCCACTGATAGAAACATTATTCAAATACCAAAATAATTTAATAATGGTCTCATAATAAATTATTTATTTATTTAACATATTTTTGTTATTAATTTTGTTTCCTAAATTTCGGGACTTTTAATATTCAATTTTTACTGATTAACATATAAGATAAACATTAAACAAAATTGAAACGAAACTTTTTCCCTTATTTATGTATTAACAGACATAGCGGTAATTAAATCGCATATTACTTTTTATTTATGATGGTGGTTTGACATCAGTAGCTTGATATAGAGAATTTATAGCAATATCTGATGCTACAAAAGCCATGGACTTCGCTAATGTTGCTAAAGATAATGAGTCCATTACAATTCTATTCGCCACATGGTTCAGATTAGCACCAAACGACTGTGCTGTATATTTTAATGCTAATTTAATCACTCGCTCACATGCCAGAGACTTGGATGTTGCGCCTTTAGCTTCTTTCCCAGCTTGCTGAGCTGCTGTTTTTGCTAAATTCATCATCAAATCCTGATGATTCGACATACCAGTTTTGGCATATTTTACTGACATTTGTACCTCTATAGATGCAGTCAATGCCCTCCTCATAGCAACGACACTAGAAGCAGTCAAATATGCTACATCTCCAGCGTAAAGTATCGCTCTTTTCGCTTTTATTTCTAGTCGCTCTTGCTTGAGTTTTGACTTTTTGTCATTTGTAAGTTCATCTTCACCATCGGACTCTATTTCCATTCCATTAGAGAAGTCTGAATTCATTGAGTTTTTATAATCTTTTGAATCAAGCCAATCATCTAGTAAAACAGGTGCATTTAATTCTTGCGTTAAAGAATGCGAATCTACAGTTACATCCTGAGTTCCATTTATTTGTTTGTCTAAAACAATGCTATCTGTTTCATTAAGTTTCGGGTCCTTATTTTCGATGTCCAAGGCTGTTTGATTAAGAAATCCTTTTATAGATGTTGGTTCAAATTTATGATTTATAATACGCACTGAACTCTTGGCTCCTCTTGGTATGACGGAAAATGGCGAAAGAAACTGTGTATTTATTGCAATTTTTGTTGCATTTACTATTTCTTGTTTTAAATCGGGCAATGTTTTATTTAATATAACATTGTAAACTGAAGGTGTATGATCTGTTACAGGTTCAGTAGATGACGAAATTAGCTCTGTTGCGTTATTTGTTGACCTTTTTCTACGTAGTGATAAGTCTACAGATTGTTTCTTTGATAAAGCTGATGCGTATGTAATATCCTTTAAGGCTGATACAATTGAAACCTCTGCAGCAATTTGCGCTAATCCGTAAACCAAGCGATGTAATTCTGGTTCTGTAGACATTTTTGTAATACTTACCATATGACCAGATAATGTTCTTGAAATGTAATCCAAAATACGTCTTGTTTCTATCGCTGTCAGTCCTTTATTTTTACCGGTAGCCTCAAGAGCTTCTTTAGTGATTCTTGTTATTTTATCTTGAATTTCTAATTTGGATAATATTGCAGAAACAAGATCTTTGGATACCTGATAAAGAGTTTCGTCCATTTGTGGATTTTGAGTAACGTTTTTTGTTGTTTTTATAATAGCACTGTCTAGATGCTTTAAAACTTTATGCGGGGAATTAAGAAGCATTCTATCGCCATATAATTTAGAATTCATTTTTTCCTTGAGATCATGGACAGGTGATATGCCGGCTGCACATAACGATATCTGGAATCACAAATTTACTATAAGACGTATTCTTATTTTGATACTAATAAAAAAATAGGTCATCCTTACCAAAAACCAAAATATTAACAATACATGAATTTTGAATTGCATCATTTCTAAAATATTTCAATATTAGAAACTGGCTTTGGCCACTTCTTTATTAAGGATAACAGATCGATAACTGTATTGCAACTTTTAACTTGATTGGCAATAACCAGTTTTATGGATTTATTAATTTTAGTTGGCTGACTAATTAGAAAACTACCAGCTGTTACTCGAGGCTTCGTTTGCATAGCCAAAGTGATATATGTTATTACAATTTGATTCGAGGTTATATGTATACATTTCTCTCTACAGCCTTCCAATTACATATCAACTTTAAAAATAAATAAATAATTCTCATGTCGACTAATTCCAATAAAAAAAAAAATAGAACTATTAGTTAGACTAGGTGGCAACAGAAAAAATTAGATAGATTGAATAGAGAACACTAGAATAAATTAATAAAATATGAATAAAAAAAGGTTGCTTCTAAGAAAGATGTAAGTAGAAAAATAATATAAGTAATATTAGTATTTTACCTTCTATTTTATCCGGCAAAAGCGTTATACATATTAATCCTGCGTTTGCTGTGCACTATCTTTCTATACACGAATAAAGGACGATAAATAACGCTCTCTGCAGTTTTAATAATATCGGGTTGCTGATTCTCTATAATATTTTCGTCTTGATAAAAGTAACTATTCTTATCAATATTTCTAAAGTCGTTGTTCTTGTCATAATTTTTAATAATCATACTAAAAGATATTTGATTCAGAGTTAGAATGACAATGAGTATTGCAAGCATTATGTTTTTTATTACAAAGAGTTTTTCTAATTAAATATGTGCTGTTTTTATAAGTTCGCAGAGTAATTATTATTTCAGTGTTAATGTGTTTTAACTTGTCTTATTCTTAATTACCACAACGTTGTTACCTTCTTGTTATATATAAGCCAACATGTTACTTACCGCCCTCTTTCTGCATGGATTTTTCCTGAAATTATTTTATATTGAAATCGTGATAAAAAAAGGAATTATATAAAAAAGGACATTTTTTATTCTTTTTTTGAATAAAGAAGAAAAAAACAATAATAAGACTTAACACAAGATTACGCATTAAAATATATCATAACTTATTTCCAGTATCTTTTACAATCATCATCATCAGCTTATTCATGTTTCTACCTCTGGGGCATAGGTAGATTGAATCGAATCTAATAAGGGGAATTGGCTTATGGCCTAAAACGATAAATATAACTGCAAAATTTCAGGCTTGTTTGGCCATGTAGCGAGTTTGTTTGTATTTGTAATGGGCCTCTTAACTTTGTAAAATTGGAATAGACTAACGACCAGAAAAGCCACCCTCTAGATATACTATATAAATTAATAAATCCAACGAAAAAGTTTTTTTGTCCCATGGATAAGGTGACGACCTCCGTGGCTCCGTACGCTGTTATCAAGGCGTCGCCATCACTGAGGTCCCGGGTTCGATTCTCAGTCGAGGGCATCTTTTTATAGCGGCATATTTTATCAATAAAAATAGACAACTTTACATAGATAATTGTATTTTTTATTTCTTTAATAATGCTTAAAATACCAGTACATCTTCATGCCATTTTTTTAATTAAAACAATAATCGTTTCCGTCCTGATCGCGTACACTTAATTTTCAACCAAGGAAAGCTGGTAATACACGAATACGACCTCTGCCTTCCAACTGTGATGTTTCACCAAACGGAGATGCATCCACATCATTGGCTGCTGGAATCAAATCGCTCTCTTCACCACCAATACTCCGTCTTACTCTCTCGTGCGTTTGTTTTTCATTAGAAGCACCATAGGCGTCTGCCACAACACCAGATTCCGCACCATCTCTGCCTGTAACTGATGGTGTTGCTCCTGCTTTTAATGGTATGTGCTGGATCACGTCCGATTCTACTGGTGTGCAAGCGCATACGGCTAGCAACGCCAGAAAACCTACAGCGAAAATTATTGAACGCATTTCCAATGGATCCTATATTGCTTCACTTTCGAATCAGCAAACTGTACTAGAATCTTCAGAAACATTGCCTTTTATTTGAAACAATGATTGCACAATTTATTTTCCATAATTTAAATTGTTTGAAGTGATGATCAAATATGATATTCCTATAGACGTATTGTAAAAACAGTGTACCTAGATTATTGTTGGCTCACGAGCCTTGTGGTGCTAATATAATACCAAATGCAGTTGATAGAGCTGATAAGAATAAAAACCAACAATTGTATTTAACACCATGGTCATACGACTAAAAAGATCCTTATACGGATCATTATTTAGTTTTGTTTAAACAAATGATAATAACAATTTGTTAAAACAAAACTTCGTAAATAAGTACATACCAATATGATAATGGTAGTAATTCTTTTGAACAAACTAAATTGAGACTAAGATTTAGTCCTGTCAAACTGCGTTTCAATTGAGAAAATAACTTATATATCAGAAATACCTAAACTTAAATATGTCTTTAATAACATATGATTATGGAATAACGTTAAAACCAACTCAAATTAAAAGGCGGCTGTCCTGGTTTTTGGCCTAGAGTAGAACCCAGTTTTGGCCATTTTAAGAGGAATTGAACATCACAGGAATACATCATGTTAGTTTTTCTATAATTCATAATTTAAAAGACCGTATACGGTAATTTGCCTATGCATTAATTACAACAACGCTTTGAAGTCGCAAAAACCCAACAGGGCAGAGTAACCAAAACCGGGTCGGCCCTACAACAGAATAGGCCCCAGTACCTTATGTTTTAAAAAAACTTATGTAAAATAAGACAAATCACTATCAATCAGCATACGAGTACTTAGATACAATATGTTACTTTTAAAATTAGGATGTTTAAATATTTGGTAGACAAACAACAAATACTTATTAAATTGCCTTATAGAAACTATTTCAATTCATTTTATAGTTCAATGTCTTAAATGGTGCAAACGAGATTTGAACAAATTCCAATCTGTTCAGTAGAGACGATCAAATTATTAGTCTAATCTTCATTTTAAATTTTTTGTGAATGCTATAAAAATTTTGTATTCATTAATGTTTTTAAATTTAACTAGATTTCAATACTATTCATTATGAATTATAAATAGTAATGAAATTTGGTCAACAGAAGGCGTAATAATGGAGTTTAAGAATTCTTTGAATGAAACATATGAACCCTCTGGCGTCCAATCATCAGAATTCTAATGTCATCTGTCAGTTACCACTCTGACCACCACTCAACTGAAATAGATCAACTTTTTTTCTTTCTCAACGAACCAACTTTTTTGGTTCATCCAATAGGAATATTTTATTAATTTAAATTTGTTCCTATCCACACAACTTCAAACCTATGAGCTATTCTTCTTTCTCGTCAGTACATCATTTAATCGACTTCAAAATCGAAAAAGTTAGATGTTCGACGCTGATGTATGTTTTTTATGTATGTTCACTGATTTTACTGCAAATTGATGACCAATTTCATATTGTTGGAAATACATATTATATCTTGTAAATACACAAAATCTCCAGGACTTTCGTAATGTTAACATACATTTTACATAGATACCAAATAATGAGAAAATATAAGTATATCACTAAATATTTTGTAATAAAAACTTTATTTTTTTAAATAGAACCGACTCCATACTTTAAAAAAGTGAGAAATAATATATTGATTTCTTATATTTTCACGCGTACTATCCATAAATGAGACAATTTTTAAATAGTTTAATCGCTTTTTTGTTAAAAATTTTAGTTAAATCGAGAGGAATATTTATCAAATAATAATATTTCATCTACGCAACCAAAACAAAATATGTCTAGAATTGAACAACTATTTTATTTATAATAATAATAATAAACTAATGCAGGCACTTCACTATAAGGCCAGTTCATTAGAGAAGTTTTAATACGAAAGTTGTGTGGGTGGCAAAAAATACAAATTTATAAATTATACTGATCGATCCAACTGGAAAGTTGTTTCTTTGAGAAAGAAAACTAGTTGATAGTTACTAGTCAGTTGACTAGTTGATTTCGTTGGTCAGTTCAGTTGATCGGAATAGAATATTTTTCCCCAAAGCATAATATATTATCAACCAATTGGTCAGATTGGAATAAAACCCTCCATCGTGCTCCATTCTGCACAATCAGTTGGTCAGTCCTAGTGGAAAGACAAGATAATTAGTTTCGTTCGTTTTCGTATGTAAATATAATTTTATCTATTTTTTTAAATAATCTATATTTAAAGTTCTTTTATTGGTTTCTCCTGTTATTATGTTTTTGGCAGTAACTTTTACTTTAATGTATTTAGTTATATCACTTATCTACTAATTTCTGCCCCACTGACATTATACTGAACTAGCCATTTTCCCATAACTTCGCCAGGGTAAATTATAGCCTATATCTAATTAACGACGGCCAAGATGATTGAGACGACTAAGATGGAAAATAAGCTTCTCCATTATTTTAAATTCTTCGCAGTATGTACTTCTTCTACTATTTAGTAATACACTGTAACATGATTTACTGTGATGAATCACGATTTCTTACAATTAAAGATGAGTGATAGTGTGTGAAATATTTGAAAATTATGACTAATATAATATCATACACATATACAGTACTAAAATCGCCTAAATGAAAATATAATAATAAAAATGCACGGCTATGGAGAAAGTAAGAACCGCACTACAAAATAAATTAAAGAAATATGTGATAAACAGCGTCGACATCGAGTAAAGCACTGTCGTAGCATAGAGGTTCAATCAAATAGAACCTAGTAGTAGTAGTTTTATGTCATGACTAGCTGTGCCCGCGATATCAGGATCCCATCTATAGGAAAGAAAGAATTCTTTCCCATTGATGCGATCGAATCGAGTAGGATCAATGGTCCATAACGCACTACGCGGGCCGAATGCGAATTGGTGTGTGTTAATGACTGCTAATGCAACCGGACAAACGGCTTAACTTGCATTCCGAAGCAAGCAGCTCAAGATAATAATGTTTTGGTCATCCACCTTATGAACGGCCCTTACGATAGTTATTTTCATTTTTTTTCCTCATTTCGCTCTGCTCTTGTGTCTGACCATTTTTATCGTACATTATACTCCATTCATTATAACATTAGAAAAAAGAGGGTCACAGAAGCAGCAGTACAGAACATTTTATTTTCAAGATAAATTTTAAAAATGTATATAATAGTTTTGTTGAAACTTTGAACGTTAGGTAGTCTGAAAGAGTTGGGCAATTCTTCCGATTTTCTTTTGCGAAGAGGCTAGAATTTTGTAAATTCATCTTTTACTCCCAAGCCAGTGTGGAACTATAACTATCTACCTGTTGTTTTGATAAATTCTAATTGTAAGTGTATAATTAGAATAGAATATAATTATTTTTATACCCAGGAAAGAAAGGTAAACAAAATGAAATTTTTAGTATTACTTGTGTAACATTCATTCAGATATCGGAAAAACTTCCTGAAATGTCAGAGGTAATTGTTGTAGGCCATTCGGACCTGCACCGGAATCTCGCAAAACTTAACTTCAAAAAGATAACAACTAAAACAAAACTATAAGAAAACAACTCAATCACGGAATACGGTAAAACAACAAGAAAGGCAATAACATTCACAATTAATGAGAATCCCAGATTACGTATTTTGACTATGACAAAATTAAAAAGCTGTACTACCGAAACGTTTGAAGGGATTAGGCAACGTTTTAAATTTGGTGGAGTTATAGTGACATGAGAATCGTGCTGAAAGTATCCAACCCTGCTTCTCTAGGTTCTTTAAGATGAACATTTTTTATTATAAAAGTTATTAAATCTTTTAAGTTAGTCAAATACTCATAATTTTGTTTTACAGATAGCTTAAACGACAACTGTTAAGTATAGCAGCTGGTACTTAAGTGGATATGTAGCAAATAAGCCGTCAATCTTAAGAGTAACATGATTTTAAATTTTATTTCACAAAGTATACCATAAAAAGAACCTTATTTAACTTCTGTCTAATGCTATAATGAATGGAGTATAGGTATACACATATTAGTAATACTTTCGCTGTTTTAACTGTTCTTCTTTTGATTTTGACCTTTATAAAATGTTATTTGTTTATCTGTGTAGTTGTATACGCAATCTATTATTTTTTGTTATGTTTTTCCATCCAATACTAGGTTGCCTGAAAGAAATCGCTGGGTGGCGCTAAGTTTGTCTTTAGTAGATAGTAGTGAATGTTATATATGAAAATTATTTATGTATGATCGTGTCATTTTCTTATTATCCTATAAAGATTTTACTTACCTACTTAACCGCATCGTAAACCGAATGCGCTAACCTCTATTTTTTTTTTTGTATTTTTTTAACCGTTTTTAAAAATTCTTTCACCTACGGGAAGCTACGTCATACTAGGGTGACACAGGTTATAAATATTTTCCCTAACACTTTGTTTGTCAATAAGAGTCTTAGGGTCAACGGACATGCCGCCACGTATCTTTCATCAGACATGCGCGTCTTATTTGTCGCAGAACGTCAGAGAACAAAAATAAATAATTGATATTATATTCGACCTTGCACACTCGATGAAAATTGTGTACTAATATATACTTTCGTGAGGTGCTTGACTGAGCTCCAGCAGTTTCGCACCGACCCTCAGACTCATGTAATATTGCATGAGCCTCATGACCGGTTAATAAACCTGTATCTCCAGTGAAGATTGCAAATAACAACTTTAAAGTAAAGCGATTTATATACAACTATTAACAGGAAAAAAATTGATATATCTCGAGTTGTCATCACTCATTCGAGAACGGTGTAACTCCAGTTTAGATTCATGCTGAGCCAAAGTTTCTGTAGGATGTATCCTGACCTAAAATTTCATACGTCTCGCTGTAGGATATTCTTAAGAATTTCATCCTTTTAGCAGTTTTGCAGGTTTGATCTTTTTTCGAGGCATTCTTACAATTTATTTACCTTTTGGCGAAAGTATCTGATGAGACGTGAACTTAACTTTTTTTAACGTCGAGGAAATGCTTCTGGTGCTGTTCCTGTTACCCGGCAAGCAACAGGGGGTGAGTAGGACTCTTCTCCGTGAACCCACCCAGCCAATCATTGGACTGTTCGTTCACGCAGATGGAGAGGCTTGGGTCCATCGAGAGCCTCTCCCAGACAGGTGAAGCCCTGCAATGCAGAGGTGGCTGCCAAGCACCTCCGTTAACCTCGAAGACGTAAACCTAACCTGATAAGAATTTACTATCGAAACCTTATACATGCGTTCACTGTAAACTACTCGATGCTTAATTGCAGCAACGCAACGCTCTTTTCGCTTGATCTCCTACTCGCGTGATCGTATACTACATGTTCATTATAAGTTTCATGGTATAATATTATATATATATATATATATATATATGATCAATCATAATTATTAGGGTACACCCTACCTAATATGATTAGTCATATATAATTGAAGTCAAATTGCAAAATATGGAAAACTAATCTTTTTATTTATATTAATATAAATTATAATTTTACAGACAATATCAATACGTAGCTCGGTAGCGCAACGGATAAGCGCCACTGCCTGCGATTGTTGTTGTTAAGCAATTTTTGCAAGAGTTGTTCACGGGATTGGTGACCAAAAAATTTTTAAATAAAGGTCTGAGCTCCACTGCATGGGGATGTAAAAGAGCTGACTATGATGAACAATATATCAGAGACTAAAGTTTAATAAAGCAATTAATTTCATAGCAATTTTGGTGAACACAGTACTTCAAATCGATATAACTTTTTTATTCCTGAGCCGATTGAATTAAACTTACACTAAATATTAACGGAAGGTTACCACAATACAATAATGAAAACTGCATTAAAATCAGGGTCTGAGATTAGCGTGCACAAACGAACAGACTAACAATATATTTAAAAATCATTGTTTTGTGTTCTATTACGTTTATAAATGCCCCTCATAACAGTTTTTTCATATATCTTCAATGTACAGATATCGATAAGTTACGTTTTTATTATAGTTTAGAAGATATGCAACAGTGATGTCATTGCATTACGCTCGACGTCAATTTTCGACTCTGTTTGTGATTTTTCATTTCAAGAATCGATCGCCGTCTTTCATTCATTTTATGGTAATTTTTTACATGTAACAATTATTAGATTTTATTTTTCTAATCGATTACTTGACATTGGCAGAATTGTGCGAAATGCGCAGATAATTCATTAATAAAAGAAGAAGAAGAAGACTCTGTTTATTCAAAAATTAAATTTCGGAAATTTTCGAAAACAGCCTAGAATTCATGAAAATCATATCTATGATTATCTGTGTAATCAGAGGCTCTGTCAGGTCCTACCTCTGTTGCATCATCAATTGTTGAAAAATTCGTTTCTTTGAAGTCATAATTTCGTTTTCGGAGTCACTGACAACACCTTCTAGTGGAGTTGACGCTCCCCTTTTTTTTTTTTTTTTAATATTAACTATGTGCCCATTTTCCCGCATGACTCTTATTCAATCCGGGCATCTCTTACAAATTATTATGCAATTTTAAAATTTAACAAGACGCACCCTTGATTGTTCTTCTAAGGATTTATTCACCAAAAAGACAATTTAGGTTTTCTATTTATTAACATAGGGCAAAACTCTTTTTTATGCATCTTTTATTTGATTTCGAAATTGCGTAGTCGTATTCATAGAGAAGCACATTGAGCAATATTTGGAACACGTGTTTAGCGATTCCCTAAGTACAATATACATATAGTAAATAAATATTATTATAAATATTGCGCATAACAAATACATCCATTAGACATTTTTGTTTACAAATGTTATAAGCTACCTTTTATCCTATGTTCAATATAATACAACAAAACACATTCATGGTCATAATGTTATTGAAAATTATTTGTCTAGAACATTAACGAAATAAACCAGAATGCGTCAGTTACCATTTCTGGGTACATTATTTAGCACATCTGCATTTGGCTCCAAGTATAAAAACGGAACCGAGGACTCATTCCACATCACAATCGGAAGCCACAGAACAGTCAAACACATCTTTTTGGGACCACTCCCTAATAAAACGCGGAGAAGTTTCTCGAAGCCCACCAAGAACATGGCTTCCTCGTTGTTTGTCCTTCTCTCGCTCGCGTTCATCGCTATCGCCATCGCATCACCCGTTCCGACGGACCAATCAGAGACGACGGCCGCTGCCGATAAAGATGTTGCATTGATCGATGTGGTAGAAGTTATTGAACCTATACCTGTAGTGGTGCCATTGGTGGATGATGCATCTACGTCTGTGCCTGATGCCAAAGAAGCGGATCATAAGATTGCGAAGAGATCAGCCTTGCGAGGTGACAACCCTAGCAACGACCTGTTAGCTGATTTGGACGGCCTCAAATATGAAAATGGTCTATCCAGTTTTGACGGCCGAAGAATCAAGTTCTTACCCACGTGGTTGGGATAAATTTTTAGCTTTGTAATTTTCGACTAACACTTGATCTTAAGTATTTTTATTTTATTTTAGCTATCTAGTTAATAGTGTGGTCAACACAAATCTAATGTAGATTATGTCATATTAGATTTATTAAACTATTACTTGTAGTTTTCGTGCTTAAAATAGGAATAGATAATAAAATGTAATTTTTACTGTATTTTATTAATAAATAAATTATTTACAGTTACATATAAATTTTTTACAGCACCAAATTCTGCCTTATACCAAATAAATCAAAGTAGTAACTTTATACTTCACTATCCTAAGATTTCAAGAAAAACGCAAATATATATTTTACGTACTCGTATGTACAAGAAGTACACAAAGTTAGCTATTAATTAAAAAAAAATTAGAAAGATACTCCTATAGGACACATTGACTTTAAAATCTCCAGCATGCATGTTTTTAAATATAACTATATAATTTTACTTTATATAAGTACGTATACCATATAACATATAAAAAAGAGCTCGATGCCGTAGTAGTTAGCGCACTCGATCTGCGATACGATTGTTAAGCAACTTTCACAAACGCCGGTTATAGGGTGGGTGACCAAAAATAAATTACCTCGAGCCCCTCCGTGCCCAGGCTTAACACCTACCAAACGACACTGGACCATCGTGGTATCCACCACGGCTCATTAGAAAATCTTTTTTTTTTATTGTGACTTATTTTACGGGCGTCGTTCCAGTATTTTGACTAAGGCACCAAGTTTCATTGAATCGGCGCTGGGATGAGGAAAAGTCTTTTTGCATTTCCACCATCGTCATCAACTTATTAATGTCCCTATTACTGGATTTTAGTAGGTACCTACATATAGTAAACTCTTCTTGAAAACTAATAGCCTTACGAATGTAATTGAAGTGGTTTCATTTAGATACACGTTTATAAAAAATGTGATGTTATCGCTAAAGCAAAACTGCGTCTTCACCCTAAACGCAGTATGATTTGGATCTATGCTGAAAAATTATAATATATATATCGAGAATACTCTCGTAATCAGCCCTTTTCATTTGGTAGTAGGATGTACAATTAGTTGCACAATAAATATTTTATCTAATTTTATAATTTACCTCCCAATAAAGACTTTCTATGTAATATATATAAATAAGGTGCTCGATCATCTTGAAATCGTTGACTTACATTAGAATTTCAAATTTTAACTCAATTGGTTGGTTTCAGGGAATATCAGCTATAACAGATAGATAACGGAATTGGGGTTCAGATTTTTCCTTTTGACGTGCGGAACCCTAAAATAGGTGAAAAAAAATAATTATTTTTAATGAAAAATACTTAAAAAACCCACCAATCCTAGGTACACCGAGATGGATTGCGAAAGATTGTGAGTTTAAGTCTCATCTCAAGGTACATAGTTTTGATAGATTTTTTAAACATTTTTCATTAAAAATATATATTAGTATAGCATTGTGAATGCAAAATTCCAAATATAACATAGACTTTGCGGACACTGTATACCTAAATTGTATTTTTTTCATGTGATAGATAAATTTATGCCAACATAACATACATCGCTCAGATTCCAAGATGAGTAGCTATAGTCCCCGTATTATGGAGTATAAGAGACAACAAATTTACCACAACACCCATACCCGAGACAATACTAAAAAAAATTCTACATTGAACTGAGTGGGAATCGAACCCGGGACCTCAGAGATGGTAACACCTTGAAACCGGCGTGCGAACCACAATGGAGGTCGTCATAGAATAATATAATCAAACAAGCAGAGATATCCGATTCCAATTAATATGTAAATAAAACAATATTCAAATTTTCATGAAAACATTTATTTTTTATCATACTTCTCCAACAATATGAATGTCTTATAAAGGATTCGATCTCGTGTATCCATAATATAAATATTTTGGTATCAAAATTGGAAAATGCAAGTAATTGTACGTGCCCATTATTTATATTTCAGGTATTTCTATAATAGCGTAGTCTTTAAACAAACTATTGTGATCTGGATTGTAGTCCATGTAGTCGTTCCCTCGTAGAATCTCAATACTAGTCTTCAAAATCTCTGGATTCAGGTACATTCCTTCCAATAAACAATATACAGTTTTTAAGAAAATAATAAACACCAGACAGAAGGCGAGATTTGCCATTCTCACTTCCAAAATAAGAACTGCTCTTTAATATTGTGAAACAATTGATTTTTATAAAGGAACGAGTAGGCATGCTAATAAAAGCTGCTAATATAGTATCCGCTTATGTAAACGTTATAATAGAGTGCTAATTTCTTATGCTCACCACTTAAATAGCAAAAACTATTTATGAATTTGTTATTTTTTGTTATATATTTATAACACATAAACATGTAACAAAAAATAACAAAGTCGTAAATAGTTTTTGATAAACAAAAAAACATTACCTTATGAGTGCAGAATATCAACAGTCTCCCGTCGAGTGTCTGATTTAATGCTATTAACTACAAAACTATTACATTTTTAATATACCTAAGATTTCTTATATATTATACATATTTACAATTTATTATGTATCGAAAGACTACTGTCATTAAATACATATTACAAAGGACATCAATAAATTTTAATTATTTACTAAAAGCGACTACTATTAGTTCTTTATGTAAATAAACATAAGTAATAAGTACTTTATGAAATTGACATAAAATTCATTATTATATATTTATGTACTTACTGATAATATCGACATATCTAAATCTTTCCATTCGTGTTATTAATAAAGTAAAAATCTTTTGTAGAAATCGTTGATTGAAAGCTTTTGTTAACATGTTTGGTGATCAATATAATTCAACATTACCGAACCTACAAACATGCCACACACTGTAAAAAATTAACGTAACTTAAGTCTCCACTTAATTTCAGTATTCAAAATGCCTTAATTTTAATTATAACGTTTAAGTTAATAGTCTCCACAAAACATTTCTATTTTTGCAACTACATTTCATTAGCATCGCCATTTCGTGTTTTCCATTTTTTTATAGAAAAGCTACCCTTTAAAAGACGAAGTCACCCCCGAAATCTGAAATTTTGTCAGTCCTACAGTCAGACCATTTTTATTATTTAAACTAACAGGCAGAATAAGCAAAAGAAATGATTCATTCCATCTACTTATATTATCTTAGTCTTTTATTTATTTATTTATTTAACACTTTATTGCACAAAAAAAAAGTAACAATAAATACATACACAATAAATGTCTTTTCTATATTATATAAAAATTAATAGTAAAAAAAACTTCCGTTCATTACAACCAGTGTAGACATCTAATACATCTGAGTAACATCAGCTACGAAAACCTCAAGAAATCAAAATATTATTTGCCTGGATGTCACATTACGTTCGTAAACATAATAAAAAAGTACGTACTGTTATAAATACTGAAAAACTCTTAAATCTAGTTTATTATCAAGAATATTTTGTCGATAGACCACTGCTAAACATAACATAACGGTTATATAAAAAACAATAATGTTTCTAATATTTATTTTACTGTGTACATTGTTTTTCACGGGAGACGCAAAGTTTTATCAACCTGAGCAAACGGAATTATATTGTGCTCCATCCATAGATGATATAGAACACAAAAAGGAAATTCTTATCTTCGATGTTACAGAAAACGATAATTATCCATTCGAATTGTGTTTAAACAGTCGCATCGTTAATCAATCCATAATTAAATTTAATGATACTTTAGAACCACCAACAAATACTACCGATTTATTATTCGCAAGTTTTAGCCCGAATATTATGATCATACTATACGATCTATCCTTGAATATGATATTTCATCCTTCTCTGTATTTCATGTTTAGATCACTCCGTTCTAATGTATTTATTATTATTAAAACACAAGACGAATTATATAAATGTGAAAAAGGAGTATTTAATGAAACCGCCAAAAGTGCAATAGAAGATTTTCTTAACGTTCTTTGGTTTGAACATCACATGTTTAAAGTTATATTAGAGTTTCCCTTCACATGTCCTCGCTATTTTGTTATTTATAAGGGAAGAAAAGAGACAAATTACAAGTATTATAACAGGACCATAATATCAGTAAAGACGAAGTATCCGAAATCAGTGTACCGAATACTAATAAAGGACTCGAGAAATCTTATCAAAGGGTACCCTATCCGTGCGAATTTATTTATGCGATTTCCCACATCAATCAATATGTGTGACAGCATTCACTATTATACGAAAATTGATTTCAATCTTACCCAAAACTTGTGCGGGATGGATGCTTTCATTATGCAAGATGTATTTAACTACTTCAAGTTCAATGTTACATTCCCCGAAATTGCGAATATTGATTCATTTGGATACGCAGTTTCAAACAATAATATCACCGGTAGTTTGGGTTATCTTATAAGAGATTACTTCGATATATCTTTCAACTCGAGATTTATGGTTAAATATATAGATGGAAATGAAATCAAGTATTTACATTACATTGGATCTGATTCCATTTGCGCTATACTGAAAACTCCCAATTATACATCTCTTTGGTATTATCCTTTCGGTTCCTTTGAGCCTTGTACCTGGATCATACTTTTATTAATAATGACCTTTATTGGGATAACGTCAAAGATATTAACATTTTTGAAGAAAAAAATTGGCATCAAATTTGTTGACATGGTCTTCATCAATTATATTTCAACCGGTTTTTTCGGATGTATGATAAAACCAATGAAAGCTTCGATTTCTATTCTGCGAGGCACTTGCTTGATTATATCTGTTATTCTCGTATCAATGTATCAGGTGAGTAATGGATTTGCTATAACTGTATCTTCACTTTTGTTATACATATTAATCATCGTTTAAGTTGGTAGTCTTGAATTTTCTTTTTTAAAAATTACGAAATGTTCTCTCGGTATTGTCTCCAGCTTACGTATCCAGAAGTAGGTATCCTTTGAGCTACGCGTTTAGAAACTCTTTTAAAGAGTTACGTATGAGTAAGTAATTACCTCGAGTTGAATTTTATACCTTTTTAATTTTTAACGAAAAAATACTAACGAAAGATAGCCTTGCTACTCGTGCACACATTTGCGCGTTTTTAGAGTATGTAATACGTACGGATGCAGCATAAGAATCGAATGCCCATATTTTTTATGCATATCTAAACTAGCTCTTTCGAGACGGCATCTCCGTTATTAATTTTTAATATACAATTTCCTCTCCAGGGCCATATTAATTATATGTATACAACAATGGTGAGAGAGCCGCTACTAAAGACGATAAAGGACTTGTGGACATTCAACATAGAGATCCGCACTAGTCAACCCGTGGTCAGATTACTTGGAGGTTCAGATGCTCTGCCTATATCTCCTTCACAGATCTACTATGATGGCTATAATAATTTGTGTAAGATTGTTAAAAATACTATCATTATAATAAACATATTGTAAGTAATACATATATCACATCTCGCACTCTCAGTCTTTTCCGGCGGCTAGATAAGGAGCACTCCGTGCTGGATCCCAGGTACTTACCCCAATAGTGAGAGTGCACGGAGACCAATTTGTAGGTATGCCATCCGCATTTTAATTAGCCTTCTGGTGTTTCCATGCGGATGGAGTAACATACATACACCCCCTGCCGCCTGTCAAACGGCGAGGACAATAGATAATTTTTTTTTTATAAATAAACTGATATTTTCTATAAAAAAATATATATTAAATATACTCTTCGATTGTGATAATATTTCTCATTTATTCAATTTTGTCAACAGCTGATTTGTTAGTGCATGATAATTGGGCGACACTGCAACGCAGAGCTGACGTCATACTGGAGACCCAGCTGAAAAATTACATCGACAAAGATGGCACCCCGCTTCTTTACCTTATCGACCAGTGCTTCAGTGATTACTACTTAAGCTATATTACTAGGAAAGGTAAGGAAATTTTTATCATTATTGTTCCGCATCTCAAAAGAAATACACGGAACTACTTTATGTACCTATATAGGATTTGTTTGAAAAACTCAGTGGGCCAGCAGTAGGAAGGAGCATTCGACTTATGATTTATTTATCAATAGGCTGATGATAATGATTTAAACAAAACTAGCTACTAATTCTAATTCCATAAACTGGGGCCCATAAGCTTTCGAATAATTATAGTAGAATTTTGACATTTCGCTGAGAATCAAACTTACAAAATCACCCGTGGAACATAGAACCACCTTTTCAAGCAGGCTACACTGATATTCTGTGGAAACCACCCGTGACATCACGGCGCATATAATTTGAAAATACATATTTACCGAAAGTATTCTAAAAAATATGTTTATAAATTTTTCCAGATTTTCCCTTTTCAAATGATCTCACAGTCATTCTCATGCGTATGGTAGAAGCTGGTCTACCAAGAATATACTACCGCTGGACGATGGCGTCCCTGAAGTTGCAGGGGAAACTAATATACACGTCTCAACAACCACGACCATTCACACCCTCCACCATGGAAGAAGAAAGAATAGCGTTCAGTTTTCTGCTAATAGGATATTTCATGTCAAGTATGATATTTGTTATGGAAAGATGGTGGGCGAAAAGAAATTAATAGAGAACCTACTTTAAAATTTGATTCACCGTGATTGTAAATGGTGGTACTATAATATAAATAACTATGGTAATAAAGTTATATCTTTTCGCGAATTCACCCGCGTATATAATATCCTATATCACCCACGTGAAAAGTAGCTGAAAGAATTTTTAAAATCGGTCCAGTTATTTCGGAGCCTATTAAAAAACATAAAAAACAAACATTTAAACCTTTCCTTTTTATAATATTACTCGTACTAGTTTTTGCCCGCAACTTCGTTTACGTGCTATTAGTATTTACAATCATTTATGTTCAACCAACTCCGAAAAAATAGAAATAGAATCATGTATAAATATGTAAGTAAATAAATTATTTCACATGCAAACGTTTACTCGTCTTTTCATTCCTTTCATAGCATTCGTTTGAAATCTATGTTTAGTATCTCATACCTTTTCGTACCAAATTTCATTTAGATGATTTCAGACCGAGTTACTCTAACATTTATATAATTAATAAGGATAGTTAAAGAAGAGAAACACTACTTATCTGCTAAAATAAGTAAAGTTACAAAAATATCACAACTCATGTTAAACAAAAGTCAAAAGCTTGATGTGGAATTGAAAGTTTGTTCTGGGATTTATTAATTTATAGTATTTCAAGAGGGTGGATCTTCTCGAAGCTAGCATAAAATTATCTTTTAATACCTGTACCGTTATCCTCTTCTTCACTGCACACTTCAATTATTCACTGCAAATCATGTTAAATGTTCCTTTAAATAAAAATATGAAATATGGGGGGTTTAAGCTTTCCCAATAAAGAGAACTATACAAAAAATATGAAAAGTAGTATACTGCATCCTCGACATAAGTTACCTTATCGATGGAATTGTAATAGTATGCTTTAGCGATGATTTTTTTGTTATGAATAAGATTCCTAAAGGGTAAAAAACGGAACCCTAGTACTAAGACTCCGTTGTCCGCCCCTCCACCTGTCACCAGGCTGTATCATTTGAACCGTGATAGTTAGAAGCCTCCGTGCGCAAGTGCGACTCGCGCTTGGCCGGTTCTTAAACAATGTCCTTCCTAGGGTATAAACTATACCAAGGCTAGAATCTTCCGAGTTTTTGAGCTAGTGTTGATTGATATTTTGCTTAGCGCAATTATCGTACCTTCCTTGCGTTTCCAAAAGATTCTCGATATTATCACTCTTATTTTTATTTAATAAAAGTATTCTTCACTTTATAAACTTGTTTTATTTATCTTTTTATGAATTATTTCTCTTATAAATCTCTTTGTACAACAACGCTTAGCCACAGAGACAAAAGTAGAATAATAGCATAGACTTTTTTTTGTTCAATTTTCCCATTCCTACAGGGGAAGGAGAAGGCTTATAGCATAGACTATACCATAGAATCAGACAATAGCGTTGCCAATAGAAATGTATATTACTAAAAATCACAATAATAGTTTTCCTGGTCATTATATTAGGTATCTTTGCTTACAGTCTTGTTTAAAAGAAGTCATCGTGTCGAATGAAGTTTCCATTCATTATCCCTAGATTGTTTTCTATGATATTCAACAAGCCTACCGGGTTATGTAATTTGCTGCGATTTGATTGATATTGAAGTTGGGTCAACTCGATATATTGAATATTGGGTGCAATCTAATAACAACCAAATCGAAGCCCCAGTAACCGTCTATTTTCGTTGATGATTGCCAGTACCTACTTAATAAATCGATTGTACCTATATTCGTCCACCTAATCTTTTTCATCTTTCTCCAACACTACAAAAGCCTATACTACTCTGGATATTTTTTCTGGGTGTGTAGCCTGCCAATATCACCTTGAATATGTGTGTTCCTTGTTACTAAGCGCTCTCTTAACCATAGAAATGAATGAAAAATGAAACCACAGAAAATCGGTAGTGTGCGTTTTTTCCTTTAAAAGCATCGTAGTAAAATCCAAACTACTCATCCAATTAATTTGGTGTGAAAGACATTTTTTTACGATAAACTTATTTATTTTGATAAGGATTCTTTATCACCTACTCAAATAATCATCTAAAGACGATCAAAAAAAATTAACTTTACGCATTTACAAAGTTTTTTATTTTTGTGAAAAACTCTTAGAACATAATTATATGCCATTCCGGACATTTTTATAGATAATTTAAACTAATCTTCTTTGGAAAGCATTCGTTATCTGTTTAGGCAACGTTCATAAATATAGTCGCCCTTGGAAGTACTTATGTCCCTAGTGAATGTTTTAGTGGGATAAAAAGTAGCCTTTATATTAATCCTGACTAAGAATTGCCTGTATACCAAATTTCATCAAGATCCGTTCAGTAGTTTTAGTATGAAGAAGTAACAAACATCCAAACTTACAAACTTTCGCCTTTATAATATTTAGTCACCCACGAAAGGTAGCTTCTCGTAGTTGAAAGAATTTTCGTGATCTGATCAGTATCTATTTCCGAAGATTACCTTATTATAATATTAGTATGGCCATCCTGCTACTGGGGAGGAGGGTGGAGTTTGTAGGACTTTAAAAAAATATATTTTAGCATGAATAAATTATTAGCGTTATCGTAAATAAAAAAGAGACCTATTTATTCATTAATAATTTATTTATAAAATATTTCATGGAATAACAATAAACATGGACTAAATAAAATTCCAATCACATTTTAATATGTGGCAAGTTTCGATGTGATTGGTATACATTAAAAAAACTGCAAAATATAATTAAAAGAATATAAAAATTATATATATTTACGTATCTATTCAAATATACAAACAAAACATAACAATAACATATCGAGCGAAATGTACAAAATCTTATATGTATATACTAGAACTAAGTAATATTGTCATCTATACCTTATCAATACACAGTCTGGGCTTGATATACCTATTCACGAAAAACTAATCGTAAGCGATCAATTCTACATGTCACCGTAAAATTGTAAACATCGTAAATTAATACTCTGTCTTGTTACATTATAAACTGTAATTAGTTTATATTAGTTATATTATAATCTGACGATATTTACAATTTAACTGTGGCATACACGCAGCAACATATCAGGTTACATGATATCAAATTCCCGCAACCTATTTTCAACTCAATTGTCAACATATTAAGTTTTAAAAACGGACAGAAATAGTCAGTTTTGTATAACTTTATGTGTTTAACAACTGTCCAATGATGTACAGTTTAGTTACAGAACAAAATATCTTACAATATGAAAAAAAAATAAAGTCGCTAATATTTGATGAAGCCTAACTCAAAGTTATAGCCAAAGCGAAGCTATTAAAACATTTTCATGCTTATATATAATTTACTTTTGTATTGAATCAATAATCTTCTTTCAGTTCTTGTAATAGCATATTTTTATATTTTAACGTAGTCAAACTCAATTCCATTTTTAAAATTGTATCAATAAAAAAAAAAAAATTCTTATTTATATATATATATATATATATATATATATATATATATATATATATATATATATATATATATATATATATATATATCGCATTGACTTTAGCTTTGAGTTAGACAGAACCCCGATCCTTCCCAGCCCTCTAGGAATTATTTAACCCCAAATATACACATTCAAAATATTATAAATGAGTATTAAAGACTAAAAAGTTTATTGAGCAAACAATATACCATAAATGACAAACTAAAATCTGCTGTGTGGAATCATAAAAGTATACTTTTGAGATATTGAGAAAATAGTTTTTATTTTACAATATTACAGGTGCTACACAGAATAATGTGCCCATAGCACATTATTCTAAATAGAGATAAAAATTTTTGGTCACACATCCTATGACCGGCCATTGCGAAATTGCTTAAAATGCTTGCATGCATGAAAAGAGTGAAGGTTAAAGAGGCAAACTACGCGGTGATGTCCTCGTGAAGATATAGAGAGAGAAAAGAACTTGTTTTTTTTTTATTATAATCTAACGTTCTGTTGACTGTAATACGATGGAATTTACCAATAACACGATTATTTCATAATGTCATTAATAATCATGCAAAAAAAAATTATCATTAACGGGATTCGTACCTGCGAATATGACCGTCAAACTGTTACCATTACCTTTATATCATCGACTTTATCAAAAGCACCAAATTCCCATAGATTCCGACATCTGTACACCATTAACTATAAATCTTCTCTATATAAACATACAAGTACAGTACTACCATTTTTATAAGTAGCATCAACATAATTCGTCCATAGAGAGCCAGTTAAATGTGATGGAGTATGAGTACACAAAATTCAAAAAAATCCGATTATTTGTTAAATATCCGATAATATCAATTAATGGATATATTAATATAGGATATTCTCCTTTTTTTCATCATATTTATAATAATCCGTAGGATATGAATTCCTCTATTTGAGCAATGATCTTTTAAAAAAATGCATTCTAAAATACAACTGGCGCCTTACTGATGGAAACGAACTAACTTATTTTAATATATTATATTGGATACATATCAAAAATAAAAATCATGATTTATAATCAATGGATATGATTTCGTCTAAAGCTTAAAATTTGTAGTACAACTCGCGACTGTCAAACTCCATGTTGACATAGCACACAACAACCAATAGTAACACGGAAACAATACACGTTATGATTGGCTATTCACCGCGCCGTTCAAAAATGGAATTTCTGCAAAGGTGCACATGACTGCATTTGAGGTTACCACAATATGTAAAATTTCTACAAGTGATTTTGTACTCTATACACAATGTACTTAATTTTAAAATCAAATATGGAGATTTCACAGTCTTGTATAACCTGACTTGTTGACTGTACATCGATGTAACTTATAAAAATGGTTAAACTGTTAATCAAATACCAATAAAAGGAATAAATCTTAACATTAACTAGACCACATTTCATCACAATAATAGTACATTGCTACTGATATCATAATGTTACAACATTACAAGTCATTTATTTATTTGTTTATTAATGCACAAAAAGGCATACTAATGGTAATAAAGATTGCACACATACACAGCACAGCTACAACCCGGAAATTTACTTGCCATTTAAATTTGAGTATTAAGTCGTATGTCATATGACATATTTCATAACTTCAATATAAAAAGCCAATTGCATCGGTCAACTTCACGTTTTGTTACATGTTGACGTTATGAAATGTATTATATGGGATAGGATTTAGTGGCCAAATTGATATGATGGTCAAATTAATTGCTTATTTGGAGCCGTGCCTTTTAGGAATGTTATAAACCTATAGAGTAAGGTTTATAGCATTCCTATCTCCATTGCAAGAATTATAATCAGGCGTTATCTTGTAAAAGTCTATTGCTATAAATGTGAAACTATGATTTTTTTACACTTTCACATACAGTGCATCACAAAGAGGGTGTAAGTTTTTGACATTATCTCGACTTTTTATATGCCTTTGTAACTTTTATTGCTTTTGCATGTTTTTTATAAACTAAGGCACTTCTCGAGCCATTATTAGATTTTGTCAATAAATTATATGCATCAAGTGTAATTTGAAGATATTATTTTACTTGAATAAATAAAAACGATGTTATTCACTTTTAATTTGGAGTTGCGTGTCCTTGTCACTTTTATCCGACGCTAATCACTCACCAGACTATGACGTCATAGTCTAGTGTATTAATTGTATGTACTTTAATTGTTTAACAGAGATATTAAATGTTCGTTTAGTTTTTAATGCATATTCCCCATTATTAGGCGATAACATTGAATTAAAACTTTAACAAGCTAATAGCATATCTTGTACTATGGCGTTTGAGATAAGCTATAGGACCCCGGCATCTCAAGTAAGATATCAAAAACTAGAAAAAAAAACAACATTTTCTTTACGATCATAAAAGCATTAAAAATCTATACATCTAATTTGATAGCAGTCTATCCATCTCATCATCTATTACCAAAAAATACCTTAATACGAAATTCAGTGGCGTAAAGCAACCTAAAAGTATGGAGTGGCGTAAACGAGTTACTATATAAGGCTGACGTAACCATGACAACACTAAAAAATATTATTGAAGATAAAGTCATTCACATTTAGTTATTTACAGGAACACAGTTATTACTGCTGCTTTTTAATTTCATACGATTTGCTTGAATCATATTAAGGTCATGATATAAATATATATTAAATATATCACATACTAATCTTTGTTCGTTAAGCAGTTGTCTCCAAATTTTGTTGCTATTTATTTTTTTGTAAAGACACAAATTGTAGACATATCCGTGTGCTATTAATGAATAATAACTTCTCTAATATACAAATAACTAAATTAACTAAACTCGGGAGAAGAACGGATTAGCTATTTCAAAATTAATTATAACAATGTCTTAAATATCTCCTGTCCAAATTAACACAAGTGTAGTCGACCAACTTACGAATTAAAGTATAAAGGTAATTTACTATAAGTATTGCAATTCAGCTCAAAGAAATGCTTTTAACTGCTTCAAAAGTACGTACATTTTGTATCTTTACTATTTAAAGCCCTTTTAAAATTTGTCTTATTAACTGAGCAGTGTGCGGTATACTAAAACTATTTATATTCAACCATTACTTCTTCTAATCCTTGCGATATATCATCTATACAAGGGTACACACGCTGCTGTCAAAGCGAACGCGTAAAAAAGCCACCGCTATTTAGAACATCTACCGTTCTTCCTAGGTGTGACTTTAAAGCTATTCTGTGGCGTAACCGAGTTACTACTAGAATCGGACACTGTCGCCAATGAGTTAGAGGATTTATGATCGGAATACCAACCGCACATACGTTTAGCGGCGTCCTCCCAGCGTTGTATAGATGCACTGAGATATTTGCGCATATTAGAACGCGGTTTGAAAACGCAACCTACTTTGCGGAGAGCTCGCAATTCGTCTTTCGACTTCCATATACCTGAAATTCAAAAATTTACATATATACAACATGATAGCAATAAATTTAATCAGAGACAGATAAATAATACGCTACGATAAGAACACTACATGGATATTAATTACCTACAATTAACACTTGCAATTTACACATTTACGAATATCTGTTTTCGTTCAAATAACCTTAAAAAAAAAGTATTTTTGTAGTCCCGTAAGATAGTAATGGCTGCCGGGAGTTATTTCGATTTGTGACAGCTATTAGTATTATTAAACTGTAATAACACTTCCCATCAGACGTATTGCAGTCAGTTTGTTGTGTCACGATAAAAAAATAGTTCACGTCTTACCTAATTGCATACCGACTATATGAGCACAGCCCAACGAAGACATTTCCACGTTCATAGGCCGCTCTACTCGCAGATCAGTTAGATCTGCCACTAACTGAGCAATGAAATCGTTATTTGACACCCCGCCATCTAACCTGCAAGTATAATAGAACAACTGTTTAAGGCCCCATTTTACCTACGCTTACGTTCTTCTACAAATGCGCAACGAAACGTGAACACGAAACCTCTGAAACGTCAATAAAACTAAATACAAACGCGATGAAACCGTTTAAAAGTTGTTTCATTTATTCTAACTTATTTGTTTTATCTTTCTAAATAGTTCTATTTTATTTTATTTTTCTAATATTCCTATCATTGAGGCAATTAAATAGTTATTATAAGTCATATTAAACCCAACACAAGTATTTTAGTTATAAACGTGAAACATAATACGAGTAATACCGAAAACTAACTAGTTTCAAGCGAAGTGCAAGCAATACATTTACAGTCACTTCATAAATAAATGAAATACTTAAAAGAGATACGCACCTTATACTATTAAACTCAAAGTTCGTCTCGGCCCGTACACAAGCGTACAACTGAGCGGTACGGAACGCGAGCGACTCGAGTACGGCGCGTACAAGATGCGCGCGCGTCGTTGACGGCTTCATACCTACAAAACCGGCCGCCGCCGAGCCATCATTGTATGGAGGCTATAAATAAACATAATAAACGTGACAACTGAAGGCCTATATATCTAAACGAAACTTCGTCTGACTTCAAAGAAACGCACTATAAATTCAAAGAAGGTAAGACGTGACACTGTTTCTGATGCTCGGATAATCTTCATGGATATGATTTCAACTTTTCCGAATTTTTGTTAGAGAATAAAAGGAATAGTAAATTAAGCGAAGGCCGCTTTGTCTACTTCTAGTTATATAGTTATGACAGATAGACTTTTAGATTTACCGAGATTAGTTTATGAGTAATTACTCATAATTTTATTAGTTTATGAGTAATTACTCATAAACTATTGGAAGTGCTGCTTAAGCACGAATTAATTAAGCTACAAATTTACTTATGTATTTATAATTTTTTCTGTCAAAAATTAATCAGATTGCAATAAGAAATGAAAATAATGGTGAATTTTAAGGGTTACTTTCTGATTTATTTTTGTGTCCAAAAATTTTTTTGAATTCACGTTTTGGTTGCAACACGACCCCTTATAATATGATATATTTTCTCATTTTCATTTACAGATTATTTAGACACAATTTCTTTGTAGAGAATTAGTTGAAAGTCAGAGATTATGGGTGTATGCTGCTCTTAATACTCACCCCTAATCCACTAAAGGCTGGTATGAAGTACACTCCGTCGGTGTCTGGTACAGATGTTGCTAATTCCGCTGTATCCTCTGGATTATCAAATAAACCTAGAACAATCAACAAAATCAAACTAATACGACAGTTATTTTTCTTCAAATAAAATTAACGAATGGATCTTTCCACTGATGTAAGAATGAAATTAATGAGAATTTTTAAAATTATTTACTACTAGTGGACGCCCGCGACTTCGTCCGCGTGGAAGTCGGTATCCCGTGGGAGTGAGAAGTTTTCCCAGTAAAAAGTACCCTATGTGTTATTCTGATGTATAACCTATATTGCTGTAAAGTTTTATCCAAATCCGTCCAGTAGTTTTTTCGTGAAAGAGTAACAAACATCCATACATCCATACTTACAAACTTTCGCCTTTATAATATTAATAGGATTGAAAAAATTTGACAATACCCTTAAAAATATCATTTACAGCTTATATGGGAGTTATTTCCTTGCACACAGCAAGTTATATAAGCAGAGTATATCAAAATACGACAGTTATCTTTGAACTCTACCCTAAATTTATTAAAGTTTAAAAGCAAATATACAGTTTTGTCAGTTTTGTATAACTTAACATGCTGTTGACTGTACAAAAGCAATTGAAAGTTAGTAGTCTTTGTTTACGCGCTCTTAAACATTAAGCGTACCCTCACCTAGATTCTGTGCCCACTTGATGATAGAAGCTGTGTCATTGTTAGCACCCTCAGCTGAATACACCAGTTCTTTCCCAATTCGCCATCCCACCACTGGGTATAAGCCTGAGACGCTCGCGTGCGGCGTGCCACCCGTGTTTATATCGAAGAATGTCCCCGTGCCCATGGTAAGTTTCACGTCGCCAACGTCGAAGCAACACGAACCCCACATGGAAGCCGTTTGGTCCGCCATCTTTAAAATTAAAACAATGTTTCTTAAAAATAACCTTCATCTGTGGTCCCTTAGTTTTGGTGAAGAGCTTTTTAAAGTACTCAAAGCCCACCATGTTGATTTAGAACATGATTTAGAACGCTCAAGGTCGTTGAATGAAAACTGAGATGAAAAAATCTCGATTGATAGAGATAAAATATATTCAACTATGATGTCCAAGGTAGTGTCAGTCTAACCCCATTAGAGAGACAACAGGCCCGGATCGACAACTTTCCTCTTTTTACACCCTCGCCCTTTTCCCCTAAATTTTTAAAAATTAATAAAAGAAAAAAACTACCAAACTAGACATTAGGAAGAGAAGGCAGAAAAGTAATTTTGATTAAAATATATTAAACTACCGGTACAGGCTGAGGTTATTTATCTACGGGGCCTCCAACACCAATTTACGTTTTAACCAGAGGTTAAGTAGTTACGGTCTTAAATTTGTCATTATATTTACCAACATTCGAATATCGACAAGATTATTGTATCTTAAAAACGAAGAAAATAAAATTTTCCTTTTAAATTTTAACTACCAACTTATCATTATTACAATTTATATGATCATAAAATCTTATCGCGCGCTCTACTTGTGTAAATTAACTAGTAACATTTGAATTATGTAAAATCTGCTAAATTAAATTTCTAAAATATTAATTTAATTTAATATTAATAGGCTCTTTTTGAGTTTAAATAAAAACTTTGTTTTAAGTTTTTTGCTTTTAATTTATTAAAAGCTAGGTTCCTCAGCCTGTTTATTTCATTCAACGCATTATTGCAAGGTCGTTTGCCGCTTAATTTCGTTAATAATTTTAAAGCATTAAAACTGCAATAGTTCGCCATATTGGATTTAGACTGATGTCACATTATTTTTCTAATATTTATCGACAAGCTCTTTCATTTGATACCCACATTGCCGAAGTGTATAAATAATAACTATTCCGCCATCTTGGATATTCCACCATATCGGATTTAGAATTACGTTACATTTTTTCAAGTTTCAACACGCCCTTTCATTTGATACCCATATTGTACAAGTAGATTAAAACTAACTATCCAGCCATCCTGTATGATCCACAAAATTGGATTTAGAATGATGTCACATTATTTTTCGAGTTATTTTCAAGGAGCCCTTTCATTTGATACCCATATTGTAGAAGTGAATTAAAAATGACTATACCGCCATCTTAGACGGTCCGGCATATTGGATTTAGAATGACGTCACACACCTTATTTCGCATTGTCGTCCAAATTTCAGCTCAATCGGTTGAAGATATCTAATCAAAATTGAGTTCGTAGATTCCACCTGAACAAACTTACTCACATTACAAATTCAATAAAAGCTTTTAAAAACAGGTAAGATATACGCACAAAATATCTGTGAACAATTTTTAACTTTAATTGCTAAAATTTAAAGTTTTGATTTGTACATAAATTGAAAGAGACTTAAATGTTTTGAGTAACATGTTGATTTGTTGATTGTATTTATCCTTCAAACATTCAGTAAACATCAACCAAAGCAAACGAGAAATGATGCAACCATGGAAGTTTGTTTTTGACGAAACTAGACAAACACAATAAAATACTTTGAAATATTTGACCCCAACGTTAAATTTACATATTTGCGGTATTATTTACCCGACTGTCGCCACAGATAAGACGTCTCATGTATAAAAAAAAGAATTTAAACTTCGTTTCAATGCAAGCACAAAATATTTTGTTTGTTATAAGTAAAAATAAAAGTAAAAACGCAATTCAATAATGCAGACGACTATTTAACACTGATTCGGGCAGGGCAATAAACAGTTTTATATCAGCACCGTACTATTACGGAAAATGTATTAATGAAAACTATAACTTATGTTTGTTTAAAAAATAGAAGCATCTTGTTTTTTCTACCGATGCCTAAAATACAATACAGGTTATGGCAATATACAAGTCGATCTCTTCAGATTATAAAAAATAACGGGATTTACATTATTAAGTGCCAATAACTTGACGATAAGTCGTTTGACGAAATTATTGATCACTTGTTTTGATGAGTTTGTTCCCTTTACAACGTGTAAAGCTATGATTACGGAGTGCTTTAAAACACAGAAATCCCTAATAATTTTACTTATCCTACGCATCATATAAATCCGATACCCAAACAGGATATAATTCTGACAATCTTCTTTTTAAAAATCTTTCTTTTGGAGGGGGGAGGATTTGTTTAATAAGCTCTCTCAGGGTCAACTTATAGTACGCTGCTTCTTCCCATACTAATTGACACCAGATAAAGGGATGATTTTAATATAATATACATACATATAGGGAGAGTTTAAGAAAGAACACACGGGTCAAATTCTAGTGATTTTTACTATTATTTTATTACCTTAATGGTTTCATTAACAATTCAGACGAATTGATAACTTCTATAGAATAAGAATTATATCTCCGTTTTATTATTAAGTTTCTTTTATCTGACCAAAGGTACATTACTGAGAATAAGAGCCACAGTTATCTGTGAAACAAAGGATGTCAATAGTATGATAAAGTATTCGGTATGTCCTTCTTCATGGTTAATCGATTGAGTAACACAACTTATCTAGTTACCTAATGAATATTTGATTAATCGACAAATAGTTACTAGATAACAGTAACTTGAAGGATTTATTACATGCACATTAATCCAAGGTCGAAAAAATAATTTGTCGTGTGGCTTGTAGACCATCTCTGAGGTTCTGAGTTCGATTCTCGGTCAGGTCGATATAGAAAATAGTAGTTTCTATATTGCCTCTAGTCTTTTCTTGGAAACGCAAGGGAAATGTACCTTATGCCTCAAATCAGGTTTCTTCAACCAGTAAGAGTAGTAGGTATGTAAAGAAATTATATATATTTTTAAAACACCTAATGTTTATACTATATTAATGGAAATAAATCAATCTTAATCTGAAGGGCAAGGTCAAAGCGATATACAGGATATTTAGGATGTGGGTCGGAAGTCAGCTCAATGAAACTAGACGCCCTAGATGCCCATGAAAAAAATTAAAATTTTATACGTCAATAAAACGATTAAATATCTGTCATTTAAATCCAATCATCAGAGTTACCATTAAAGCTCCCAAAAATAGCCCGAATTCGTGGACGTTATTGATTGTTCTACGTTGACGTCCACGTCTTTTTCATGCTATTATTCTCAAGTTCGTAATAGAATTTTAATAACAATTATTGCATAAATTGTTAGCATTTTTGTCTTCTTCTTATTGGCTCAAATAAAAAAAATAGAACCAAATAATTTTAACAGCGCACATTTTTTTTATTTACTTTAATATCGTTAATAAATAAAGATTCTTTTTTTTTAATTATAATTGAACAAATAGGTATGTATATTGACAAAATATTATTGACCTCCGAGTAGGGCAGGTATATAGAGTATTCTTTTTTATTTTTCAACTCTGATGGTTAAAAAAACAGAGAAAGAGACTTGAATATCATTTAGCACAATGATCACAGTATCATTGTGCTAAATAATTTAATTTTTGTGTACTGACTACTTTATCTAGTCCTATTAATATTATAAAGGCGAAAGTTTGTAAGTATGGATGTATGGATGTTTGTTACTCTTTCACGAAAAAACTACTGGACGGATTTGGATAAAACTTTACAGCAATATAGGTTATACATCAGAATAACACATAGGGTACTTTTTACTGGGAAAACTTCTCACTCCCACGGGATACCGACTTCCACGCGGACGAAGTCGCGGGCGTCCACTAGTATGGTTATATATTTACAAAGTCGAGTTTCGCACTCCCTATAATTATATTTAATTATATATTAAAAATACTCACAGAGCTCCTAATAGGTATAGCGTGACCCCAAATAGATGGGTCAGTGCTAGTGAAGTGTTCGCCGGCGGTATCCACTACAGTGGGTAGAGCGTTCACCGGTATATGGAAGAGATTCATCGCCCAACCAGCCCACTGCATAGTGAATGGATCGTAGAAACCGGTAGCAGACGCTGATGAAACATCAGTCGCATGGAGCTTGTTACCTGACAAATAAAATAACGATAAATACCATAAATAACAAAATTCTTCGGCTATGCTATTCTTTATTAAATAAAACTGTCGAATACAGCGCTATCACGCCATAGAGCTTCGATGAAATACAACTTTATTACCTTTTGAAGTAGGTTTTATTTAATCGAACCTCTATGCTATCACGAGTTTGAGACTGCCGGTCCCAAGCCAGTGCATTGTGGAAATCTTAAACAAAGATACATCTGATATGCTGGTTGTTGTACCTACAAAGAAGTACAAATATTGAAGAACGATAAATATCGGCCCATCCTGATGGGTCGTGACCCTTAAGCTTGTGACGGGTTCGATGCTTAGGCAAATGAATAAAAAGCTGACTAAGCTTGAAAATTTGATTTATTTTGAGAGTAATAAGAAAAAACCTGTTTCGGGTTTTCTGTAATAGATAAAACTTGGAACATATTTAACGAAGATATACTTCTAGATTTACATTTTTCTTATTTAAATTATAATTACTTTATTATTATAAGATTTATATATTTAAATTTATAAGCTTAAATTATCATGTTCACACCAGATTTAATTTTTTACGAACTGACATTCATAAAGAGCATATTGGATTAGTCAAAATTTCGAATTACGAAAGGTGAATAATAAAAAGAAATTATGTTGAATATCAAAGACAAAAAGTTTGCATGCGGAAACCTAGGACGAAATAAACGGTGGTACGGCACACCGTTACAAACTCATATCACGGTTAAGATGCTAAAATCTTTCATTTTAAGATATTTTCAAATAACACACACGATTAAGATACGATAATATAAATGCCATAATAATAATAATCTTAAGATACCATCTCAACCTACGGAATATATATTTCGTATCGCTTTGCATTTTAAGTTAATATGAAAATGTTATACTCGTATTATCTTAGCCGTTTCCCTTTTGTACCTCACGGTATCTCTAACAATTGGAGGCGTGTTTTAAGTGCTGGTAGGGGAGAACCAAAGAAGAAAGAAAAGTAATTTATTGTTGGGCACACAACATACATAACAACATATGTATATATACGACTACAGGTGTTATGAATACTATGTGACGTCAAAATTGGACACAACTCTGTTATCTGTTAAATCCGACCTTGACATCACGGAGCATAAAATTTGAAAATATACAATTAACGAAAGTATCCAAATATATCAAAACAAAGACAGGAGAAATTAAGCTAAAATACATATTGACAACTAAATAAAGCTGAGTGAGCCAAATTCGCATACCTTACCTAAAGCAAAAGGTGTTCTGAGGTGTCTGTGAATAACACGTTACAAAGGACACATTGAACTCGTCTACAGCTATAGATTTGCTGATATGCAATTGCAATTGAAATAATTACTAAACTTATCACAATAATTCATAAAAACCACTTAATATAAAACAAAGTACGAACTAATGGCCTTTTTTTTTGTCGCTGGACATTACTGCATACCCCGGATCGCCAGCGCGGCTAACCGAGGTTATGTGGCCTGCGGACCCGCCCCAGAATGGAGCTAGTCAAAGAGCAGCAGTATACCCACTTAAACCCAACAATATCCCTCGCATGGAAGGCGATGCACGGGATCGGCCCGAAGGTGCACCGCCACATGCACCGCGCGGACGAACTAATGGCCTAAATAATAATTAAACAATCCGTCGTTACTAATTCAGCGTGTACTAAATCTCCTATTGCATCTGTGATTACATGAAATGTTCCTTTAACTTTCTATTAAAAGTGTTTCTTATTTTTAACATGCGATTGGGACGCCGCAAGTTGTTCCAGCATTTACAAGATGATTTAAAATATATAAATATATAATGTATTTTAAAGGTCCCCTAAAGGCGGCAGATCTATGTTTCGGGGTCTGTATCATATCTGAGACAGTTTTATACTGTATACAAATTTATCCTTCGCCAAGGTGATTTTTGAGTAAATATATTCAGGTACTTTAGTTACTTTAGTGTATAATATCAAATAACAAGATAGCAAAATGTAGTTTTCTACGAGCACTCATTATAATTTATTGGAAAAACAACAACATGCACATGTGTTTTGTACCCGCTGTGATATTTGACAGATCATATCGCGTAGAAGTCGTACATTTTCCACGTGGTTTCATTCAATGTATATAAACGATACAAAACTTGCAAATGTGTTATCGTAATACGATTTCACGTTAAGTGGTTATAAACATTAAGGGCCCAGTATTAATATTAAGCAATCCACCAATATCCAGGCGCCTGACCCTCCCGAATGTGAATGAGGCGAAATTTAAACATGAAACAAGGCTCATTATACATTTTGCCATCGGTTCAGTTATCATTAGCTGAAGCCAGTGGCAGCTCAGTGAAGTAGTGGATAAGTGTCGCGGTCCGCGATTGTTGCTGTTAAGAAACTTAGGCAACGGTCGGTCATGGGATGGGTGTCCAAAAATTATCTCGATCTACTCCGTGCTTTGGAAGGCACTTTAAGCCGTTGGTCCCGGTTTCATTTGTAGTCGTTAATACCCGCCAATGCGCATTGGGTCCGCGTGGAGAGACATGACCCTATTGGCCCATTCTCATAAGGCAGGCCTGAGCCCCTGCAATGGGAATGTAACAGGGCTGATGATGATGAAGTCATCATTGAATTTGCTCTGTGCAAATGATGATTTCACATGCACCATATATTTTGGAACTTTCTGTCCCAACTCACTAGAGACTAAGGGCCAGTTTTTTGATTCGTAGTCAAATGTCATTTCACCATTTGTTAACTTGACTATAGTTAAAACATTAACCAGTTGTTAACCCGCTATTTCGTTTTTTAATGCCAAATTAAACCATAGCCAAATTTAACCACTGGTTAATTTGTTGCCAGCACAATGAGTCGTTCTTTCGCTATACATCAACATGGGTATTTTTTTCTGGGTGACAACACTAAGGGTTTGAATTAACAGAGCGAACTATATACCATTTTTGACATTAGGGTTTTGTTCCAAATATCAAATAGACAAAAGAAATCTATAAATTACCAAACAGTGTGGATGTTTATGGTTGTTCTGTTGTGTGCACTATGTGTTATTTTTCAGGAAATATAAGGCAATTTCTTTAATAATGTTAAAAAGCAACAAAGCTATTTTTTTTTTCGAGTTATTTTAAACTTAACTTTTTTATAAAAAGCATATATTTGTTTTTTATTTATCTTATCTTTATCTTATAGAGAAATAGGTGAAAAGAATATAGTATCTAGTATCCAAGGCGGGATTGTAATATTGGAAAACAAATCGAGGTATATGTTTTTCGTGGATTTTATAAGATCTTTAATAATTGAATAATTTGGCATATGCCCGTGGAAACAAGAAAACAAATTATTTTATATACAAATATACTAAGGATGATCAAGATAAAAATAGAAATTATTTTCAATAACCCTAAATCCAAAAATGAATATTTTCCTATGAAATTGCATCATAAAACGAAATCTCAAAAATAACTAATGTCCAAATTCACTATGGAATCATGTAGGTTATAAAAACAACGTAAAAAACAATAACAAGGGACGAAGTAAATACAACACAGTTTTACATCAGTTCTTTTAACCATTGGTCATTTGCTTAACCTTCCAGCTTCCAGTGATGGTTAAATTTTTTTACCAATGGTTGGAATTCTGACAATTGGTTAGACTAACTATTTATCAAAAAACATATTATTCTGATATTTAACCATGTGTCGAAGATTTTAACAAATGGTTGAGTTAACCACGGGTCAAAAAACTGGCCCTAAATAAGAGTTTTCCTTTCTGTTATGCTCCTGCCAGTTACTGAGCCCGAACCTCTAAGATAGCGACTATGAAACCGACGTATAAATCACTCTCCAATCCAATTAAACTTATAGAATAAAACGCTGACATCAGTACCATCATGAATTTACTGCTTGAACAAAATCTAAGGCGTCATGATTTGTCGTCAATGTTTTTTTTTTCAAGCATCTTTCTACGAAAAATATTTTAATAATCCAAATATATAACAACAACTTAATAAAAGTGTAAAAAGAAAGCCTACACATTTACCTGTCAATTTATATAATAACCAACAATCTAAGGTTCCAAACATAGCATCGTCTTCCTCTATGGCTGTCTTCAAAGTGGCAATATTTAGTACCGCCCATTGTAATCTTAAAGTGGTCTAAAACAAATAATGTTGTATCAAGTTTCTAGTCCTATTATATCAAGTCAAATAGATCTCTAGACTTAAAATAAATAAATAAAAAGTATTTATTTCAATAAATCCATACAAATATGTGGCCGGGGCTTCTCAGAAAGTAGTCTAATGACACTTGTGTTGGGAAAGCCTCGCTCATCCTTTACATTTTATATTAACTTAGATTTATGAATTAAGTACGGTAAGTAGTAACTTAGATTAAGAAAATTACAAAAATAAGATTATATAAAAAAAATAGATAGTGTGTGTGCATATGTGTGTGTGTTTGTGCGTGTGTCTGTTTGCGTTTGTGTGTGTGTTAGTGTGGATGTGTGTGTGTGTGTGTGTGTGTATGTATGTGTGTGTGTGTGTGTGTGTGTGTGTGTGTGTGTGTATGTGTATGTGTGTGTATGTATGTGTGTATGTGTTGTGCATGTGTGTGCGTTGTGTGTGTGTTGTGCATGTGTGATTGCGTTAGGGTGCTTCACATATGTATAGTTTGTATTAATCTATAAGTCAAGTCATTCTAATCAGAATGTCTTCCACTTCCTCATATGTAAGAGTAAAGAGCCACTCAGTCAAAATTATTTTACACTGGTATAGTTTCATAGGGTAAATACTAAGTATACGGTTTATCTTATTGTAAGCGTGAGGGGCTTGAACTATATTTTGTCTCCTGGCAAAGACTGTACGTATGATGACAGTGGGGGCTAGTACGTATGATGACTTGCTATTATATCAAGTCAAACAGATCTCTAGACTTGACAATTACATTATCGTTAAAAAAATAAATATAATATCACATACATTGCTCATATTCCATATGAGTAGCTAAAGTACTTGTGCAATGCATTAAGGCTGAGCTTTTATACTGAGCTTTTGTAACGCAACGGAGATGTTTGCTGAGGCCCGGGTGTATTGATGTTATACAATACGCAAGAGGAAGGTATCCAGAAGCTATTTGCAGATAGATTTGACTATCAGTATACGAATCAATGTAGTTCATGTGCTGACTAAAACCATTTTCTTTTATTTATGTATTATTAATTAAAAAATATATAATTTGTAGCATCAAGTGTTTTCGATGTGAATCTGATAATGTCCGACCGAATGTTCAGTTTCGATAGTTTCGGCAAAAAACGGGTTTCTGTTATCGTGGCACACCTGCCGAAATTAGGAACGAAACCGAAACTGCATTCGAGCGTTCTCGCGCTTTGAATGGTTGGTTTTTTTTTTACTTTTTTGCCGCATCTGATTATTTTTTCGTTAATTCTCTCAATAATGATAAACTTATACAAATTGTTTATTTACCTTATAATATAAGATAATGGACACTAAGAATAACGATTACAGATACCCACTTTTAATTATTAGTATTTAATTGTTGCCATTTAATCTTATGATTGCCCTTGAGTTTATAATTTAGTAGTTTAGCTTTTTAGTAGTTTGTTTAAGTTCACAAAATAATAAAAAAGTTAAAATGAAGTTCATTAAATAATAAAATAAAAAACCTATTGTGATATAAGTCATTTTGTGTTTAATATTTTTAAAACCATAAATGATATTCAAGAATAGCATCTACCAAATTAAATAGACACCTCACATATTAAAAGTGCATTTTTTTTTTCTTAAAAGTGGGTTGTGTTAATAAATTAAAATGTCAAATACTGCATATATTTGTGATTTAAAGATAACAAAACCCACCTGCCTGAAAAATTACTTAAATTATTTTATTTATGTCTTATATTACAAAATACTAGGTGAAAGTGTGAAAATCCATATTTGAAAGTATTATTTTTATGAGTATTACAGTAATGACAATCATGATGTACCTTTTTAAAATCCTTGTAATATGCCTTTTAATTTGATACCCATATCATAGTATTTAATACATGATGCTTATTGCTTACCTGGGTATTCATAAATTTCAATGCACTGCCGGCTCTAAATCTTTTACTTCTAGATATTAGATAAAGAGCAAATGCACCAGCTTTTATCAACTGAAAATAAAATTATAATATAAATGCTAAGTTTAAAATAACAGGACTTCATGTCAAAATGTTAAAAATCAAATCAAAGGTTAAAATAAGTGCTTGTAAATGATGAAATGAAATATTTGTGCATAGCTTCAAATATTTCTTTTATTTAGAGGGGTTTTTATCCTATTGAACTAAACTAATTTTATAATGAGATTGGACTAGACCATGTTAAACAATATTCACTAAGGGTTATTTTAAATTTATAAGTAACTCACATATTTTTTGTACAATAAGAGACTTAGGTTCTGCAAAAATAGTTTGAATCAATTCAATATTTAAAAATTGAAATTTTCCCATAAAACATGATTGAATATGGGCATACACAGGTTCTAACCAGGGAGACAAATAAGATTTCGGGACTTTAGCAGGAAGAGTCAACAGTATATAGTAGGTAAGTATATAAATACCGACTCCTGCCTAAACCCCTTAGTATGCCCAAGTGGAGAAATACAACTAACAACTATATTATGTAGTAAATTTCCAAGTACAAATTCTTCAATGCTTGCCTTCCAAGTATAAGAATCATTCCATTGCTTCACTAATTTATCAGCTCTCATATCTTTCCACGTAATAAACCTGTGGAAAGGTTTCCCAGATTTCCGAGACCATGTTATAAAAGTACTTCTCTGTGTTGATATGCCCATAGCTGACATTTGGCCTGCTGATAAACTGGCATCTGTTGCAATAAAGTCAGTTTCTATTTATATGATGTATATACTTTCATAAACTACTTTGTATTGTGTGACATTGCCAAGTAATTTTTAAATTAATGCATTATGTTATAGATAATTAGTTGCACATTAATTCGGTACAAAATGAAATAAATTTTAAACCAATCTATCTATATGATAAACAACAGGTAACTTAATAAATTTTTTTATAAAAAACAAAGGCGACATACCTTGCAATGACTTTTTGACCACATTTATAATCGTATGCCATAGTTCGTCGGGGTCAATTTCAACAAATCCCGCCTGAGGATAATGTAGAACGACCTACAAATAAAAAATTCAAGAAAACTTAAACAGACTCAAGGCATGTGAAAAAAAATTATTCTTATAATTACCTGGTCGACGGCTTTTCCTACAGATTCCGCTCTTGAATTGTAAATAAAAGAACGTATTGTTGTGGTACCAATATCCAAAGTCAATATATATTTCTCTTCCATTTTCTATAAAACTACATACATTTTTTTACGAAACAGTAAAATAATAATTGTGTTTACTTTTTTATTACGATGACGATCTTGCAACCACTTGAAACTGTCTCAAATATTCTTAGAAAGCGAACATTCCAACTAAAAGCGAGCGGACGACGAAACAAACACGAAAGTAGTAGTAAAGCGACAAAATAGAGTTCTAAAATCACACTTGGCAGTTTGACATTGACATACAGCTGACAGCCCAGGGATGCACGTTGAAATGTCGACCTAGGTAATTCTCGATATTATAACAGAGTTAGTAATGTAATGACGATTAAAATTTAGATTAATTTCCAAAAGATTTTGTCTTAAGTTTAAAGTTTAACTTAAGCAGACATTAAACTTTTCATCGGAAATCTGATAACAGCCGATTGTGAACGACTTTTTTGTATTTAGACATGAAATATAACGTGAAATATACGCTCGGCTCAGTAAGTCGTGTTGTGTTTGAATTTCTATAATTACAGATAATTTAATCAAAGAATTAATTTAGTTCAAAATGGAAAATCAAAAACAAAATAAATAAATTAACAAAAATATTTGTTATTTATTGCAGTGACAAAAACTGCCGCTGTAATAAAATATTTGTCATTCTTCGCGATGAACGATATAAGGCCGATGCCGATGAAAGCAAAAGCCAACAGTTGTCTAGAACCTTTCATCGGAAAGACGCATCAGCGATGAAAAATATGTGAATATATGAAACTTCATATAGACACTTAATTTTCAAGGCTTGTTCGATAAAACAATGAATTTGAAAATAAAAATAAAAGGATCAAATTTGGCATTAGATATTAATGAAAACGAAAAACAAAACTCGATTTATTAAAACTAAACAAAAAAATTTAATTATATGGTCTATAATATAGACCAGAGGTTCCCAAACTTTTTCTCGTAGACCATTTTAAAAAATATACTGGTTTCGGTGGACCCCCTGCTGCTACATTTTTACCATATTCCCAAAATTCGTCCAAAATGTGAAGATCTAACGATGGAAATTAAATTTATTTCACGCCAACGTAGACCCCCGTTGAATCCCTCGTGGACCCCTGGGGTTCCACCTGGACCACTTAGGGAATCATTAATATAAACTATTTAAAAATATATTTGATTTAAGAATAATATTATAATGATACACTACAATTTGGAAGTTATTTTTTAAAAGATTTAATTATTTCTTATTTGTAACGAAAAATAAAATTATACCGTTTTTGTAATAGTGAGTGAAAGAAAATTACCAGTCTGTCTGTTTCAAATAGAATAATATTGTATAAAGAATATTTATGGCTTACAGGTGACAAATAAAATTTTAAATTGTACATCATATGAATATAACAAATGAAAAAAATTCATATCAACATTTTGGCACTTTAAGACAATTTATAGAAAAAAAACTCAAGCGAAAACGAATCGGAGTCGCTCTAAGAGGATAACACAAATATTACATTTCTCTGGCTTCCGGTAATCTGGAGGATATAATATAAAGGGCAAAAGTTATCTCTCGTGTCAGATTATGTTTGTTCAAATAAACTTATTTAGAAAACTTTTGCATCCTTCAATCATTTTACGACCGATCTCCAACACTGCGACTGCCCCATTCTTGTTTAAAGTAAACTTACAACGATTTTCTTCGCAATCACAACATCAAAATTAGTTTCAAAATGTGGTCTTATCTTTATTAGTTTGTTACTGGTGCACTCAATCCACGATAAACAATCTACAAAAGAAACATCTTTGCACGTAATATTTCAATCGTAATGTTTTTTATCGAATATCTTTAAATCACTTTATCGACACTAGTCTCTTAACCCTTTGATTGATTAAACCAAAGGGATTTTTGTCCAATCAGCCAAAAGTCCCTGAAAGTAGCGTTTTTGGGAGGTTAATGAAATGCGTTGAAATTTACATGGAACTCCGTTGTATTGATAATCGACGGGATGCGGAGGAAAGATGTAACCTATACCTACTCGTATTTTCCGCACGAAAAAAACAAACTAAACGACCATTGCGTGTATAATATCTTCTTCCAACTGTTAACATAAATAAAAAATAAATATAGATTGATATGACATCAATCTATAATTATTTTTATTTATTATCACTCTTGGTTTACAAGTACAAATAATCAAAGGGGTTTTTAAATTGAGTAATATTTTGTTTTTATTTGGGTATTGATTCAAATTGATTGGTTAGGTATGTATGTTGAATTTATAAAATTCTTGCAATATCTAAGATTCTATACGTGACATAATTTAAAAATGCCTTTAAATATTTTTCGAGGCATCGCTATAAATTATAGGTATAGATCGAAAATAAAGAAATATATTGGGGTCAACTAAACTATTGATCTTAATATATTGACTAATGCCCGTTTTCACCAAGCTTAGGAACTGCCCAAATCTGTCGCTTAAATATTTAGCAATTCATTTCACCAATGACTAGGAACCACCTAACGACATTAAGCTATGTCTAAAGTAATAACATGCGTTATGCGGCGCCTTGCGCTAAGCATTTACCTAATATTATGTCAGGCCACAAATATGTCAAGGGATAAAAGAAGAAAAATATTTATTTGGAATCTATTTAATCTGTTTAGGCGATTCATAAGACTAGGCGTTTCCTAGTTAAACTATGTTTTGTCCTAGGTAACTGAAAACGGGCATAAAGCTCCATGATTTTTTGCGCCAATTCTGTAAAAATATTTTCTAAACTAATTCTCTTCTTTAAAGAAATTGTATTCCAATAAGAATCTTATTGTATTATATTCCTGTTTGAATTTTGTCAATGCATTGAACAGTTTTGTTGATATAAGTATAAACAATTATATAAATCAAATAAGAATAATTTATACATTTGCATTTAAGCTTTGCGTTTTATTTCATTATACATATTTTTAGTAATGGCAACATTAACGCTTTGCTTGACAGGCAAGCGAGGTTGATAGATTTCGAGCGCTGAAAATTGTGATGTAAAACGAGAAAATAAATGTTTACTGGCCATCATGGCGAATCCAAGGAAATTTAGTGAAAAAATAGCCCTCCACAATCAAAAGCAGGCTGAAGAAACAGCCGCTTTTGAGAAAATAATGCGCGAAGTTTCCGACGCAACTAATAAGGTATGTCGCCTATATTTACTCAGGCAATCGCTTCCTGGCCGTCAAACGTGCGAGCCGACGTAAACAATAATCGTTACAATAAGCCTATTGCGCCTTATTGATAATGATCAATAGTTTATCCAGTCTAACTGCAAACAACGCACTTGTAGCAGATCAGTCTTTTCCATAAAAATTGTCATGGTTATGTCTTTGTTGAATGGCTTTTACAGCACTCGAAGTACTCTTAGTTCACTGTGTACATTATTATTGTTTCTCAAATTCTTCTTGACATGATTACTTTAACAACATTTTTGTTAACTAGTAATAGTTACTAGACAATATAGACTCAATTTATGTTTCAAAACATTGAAGTGATAACAGTGATAAGTAAAAGGCAGTAATTTTAGCAACTAATAATATTTGTTTTAAATAATGATGATAGTTAATTTAATCATTTAAATAGTTCTAAGACTTTTAAACATTCCCTTATTTCTATTTTGTGGGTTATTTCGTAAGTCTTGTTAGCGAGCAATATTACAGGTTAATTCAAGTAGCAGACAAGCAAGAGTGAAAGTGTCCCCTAAACCAGTTGAAGTAGTTGAAACACTCCGGCCTGCCCAGCAAGGCTTAGGCACATTCCGCAGTGGTTCCCTGCCAAATGTGGCTGCACCACAGTCTGAGAGTGTGCTGCCAATTGATGCAAAGGTTCCTCTTCTTTGGAATCTATTTGTTACCTCTTTGTTTCTTGTAGAGCTACATTTATTTTTAATGGTAGTGGTGCAGGTGTAGCTGGCTGTGTATCCATAGAATGAGGCTAAATATTTAGTTTATTTGTCAATTTAAGTTTTAAACTCATACAACATTTGACTAATGTGGTCCCTATATAAATTTTATTTGCTTACTAAATGAGTTTTTTTTTATCAAGATATAAACAAATTCATTATCGCACTTTAAAAATTTTAAAATCTATTATTGGTCCCGAACCCAGTACATGCATTGTTTTAATTGTACCACAGTTGTCATGCAATATCCATCAAAAAATGATAAAAATTAATTTATAAATGATTCCAGAGTACCTTCATATCGCGTCACATCAAATATTAAATATATATAGATTACTAGCTTTCGCCAGCGGCTTCGCCCGCATGGACCCTAGGGAAATGTTAAGTGGGATAAAAAGTATCCCATTATCTAAGTCAGCTAATACCCTATCTGTATACCAAATTTCATCAAAATCTGTTCAGTAGTTTCGGCGTGATTGACCTAAAAACATCCAAACAAAGAAACTTTCACATTTATAATATTTATACAGATTATTTAAATTATCTCATGACCAATTTTTTCATTTTATACATTGTTACTGTGTTAGTTTCCTTAAATTTGCTATATTTATGTGACCATGTATATCTTTTACAATAAAAGACAGAGAAAAGGCATCCTAACTGAACATGCAAAAAAATTTGATGGTAAATGAGTTTTTTGGTTGGAACACTTTTCTCTGTAGCTATCGAACATATATTAAAGGCCTCTCTCAAACATCTAATTTAGATAGATTTAATGTTGTTTTATTTCTTTGTTTGTGGTTATTATTACACATTGCTATAATGTGTAATAATAACCACAAGAAATAATAACCTCATAAAAGAATGTCAGTCTATCGGTTAGATGTTCTTGATGAAATTTCAATTTAATTTATGTAGAATCAAGACAAACCTACTAAGTTTGAATGTTAAGATTGAAAGCATGTGTTACCCCTGTAATTTTAATTTGCTTGTTTATAAATTATCACTGCATTTTATGATCTTTTGTTAATGTTGTCTTCTGGAGAATTTTTCATAATTAATAAATTTTCGTTTTATGAGGACCTATGGTAAATGAAAAAAAAAATCTTTCTATGATGAGATAAGTAAAGGAAATACTCATTTAACATGAAAGATAATTTCCGAAATTTAATAATCTACTAGCTTCCCGCCTGCAGCGTCAGCTGGTCCTGTATTGTACATATAAAATTTTCCTCTTGAAACACGGTATTGATAAAAACTGCATTAAAATCTATTGTGTAGATTAAAAGTTATCAGCATACAGACAGTGAGAAGCAACTTTGTTTTATACTATTTATAATATAGATAAGAATGGACTTCTACCTGTTTTGCTAAATGCAAAACTTGTGAAAATATTAAATTATAATATTTTGTTTAAGTCTGAGAAAGGAGGACAAAAATTGTAAATCAATACTTCTTTGTATGGGCAAAATGAGTAGAAAAGTTTACCAGGCCATCTATTTATTAATAAAAATGACCCAAAATGGTACCCTTTAGCAATATGAGATATGAAACCTTCTAAAGGTTGAAGGGCAATCAGGTTTACTTTCACTTTTATGTTGAAAACTTCTTAAAATGTATATTATTTTGTAGTGAAGCAAACTTGTATCTATAATTTCCTGTTCTATGGGCTGTAGTGACTGATCGAATACTGATTCTGAAACAACTGGCATGCATATTTCATTTTTAAAATATTATGTATGTATATGCATATTTACAATCTATTATATAATTTGTTAGTAACAAAGCCAATTTAGTTAAAATGCGCGTTTGTGTTGAAAAAAAAGCATCATTTATGAGTAATTTTGCTGAAGGTCATCCAGTTGTCTTAGACTATTAGATGAACTTATGATTTTAAAATGTTATATCTGCGTTCAGATGTATTGCACTTGCGATGTGTTTTAAAAATCGTGGTCGTAAACGTGTTTAAAGGTTGTAGATTAATTAGGCGTTTAGAAGAGGTTCGTTTATTATGATGTTTATTTATTTTATTTGTCTGTAGCCTGAGGAGGCAACGCTTGCTACACAATATGGTTTGGGTGGGGGCCGTAGTGGCGGGGCTTCCCCGTCTCGGTCTCCGGGGCAGCGTGGGCGGGCTTCATCGTCAGTGGGCCCGATGCGCCGCCCCGCGGATCGAAAGCATGACACCAGCCCTTACGGCAGCACTGTGTATTTAAGGTAAGCGGCATTTGTGCAGCAACGTCCTAATTATATATTAATTAAATTACATAATACAAATTCTAATATTTATTAAATATATAAGCATGCTATTTTTTTTGCATGCTATGTATTTGCTAAAGTCCATCTAATATGATTGCGAATAGCAGTGACTTGTGAATATTAAATTTACGTCTGCGGTGGTATTATGAAAATCCCTCGGCGAAACTATATTTTTGAAACATTCTTTCAAATTCTTGCCGTCTGCGACGTATATCGTTCTTTTCGGCACTGCAACGAAATTTTGAATTTAAATTCGTATCACGCAGAAAAAAGATCGATAAATTATCGTAAATCGTAATGAAATTATACATTTAGAGCTACCCTATAACAGGAAAAAGGGTAACAGTATTTGTTTCAAACAATATCTCGAGCTTAGTCTTATACTTATATAATAAAAAGCAAAAATTTGATTGTTTGTTTGAATTGAAAAGGTTACGCAACTATTGGATCGTCGCATAAACGCATTAACTTTATAAAATAATAACTAAAGTTTAAATACTGAAACTAGTACTAATTTAGATAAATTCAAAGAGAGCTGGAAATAATAAACAAAACTGCATCATTAAACGTTTCGCCTATATGGTGTTTACGACCTTTCTTCCGTGAAGTATTAATACAAAACGTGTTTCCATAGAGGTGTAAAAGATAGAGTAGGAAAACAACAGCTGCTTGTAATCCGGAACGTACCACGTTTAGAAAAAGTTTTCTCAGTGCTCTATTTGTCTCTATCTATTGGCGAACAGTAAAGAACATCTAACAACAAGTGGTCGAATCGTTGTGCTGTGGTATCTTTCTTTAATTGAATATACGCGAGTAGAGATAAGGTACGATTATTTAATATAGGCGATTGTCTTCCTCTTTCTAACCGAAAGAAATCTGGAGGCATCGTTTTCGTGTTATCTCAATGACATTTCTTATGTGTACTTTCAAGATTTTTCACTATAACTCAAATTGAAATCGAACAGGAAAATGTTTGATTATTACACTAACTAGACCTCATTTGTTATTTCACAGTTTAATCTTACATGTCTTTTATTCAAAGCTGCGAAACGGAAACTTTGTCGTAATATTTTAATGTGAACCATTCTGTGTAGTATGTTAATAATTATAGCGTTGACATTAATTACTAGGTTTTTTTATGTATCGTTAATTAAGGAAAAATCTTAGTATGAGAAAATAATACCAAGAATAGAGACACGCAAGTTTACCACAGATAATATACTGTTACTCGTAGAGGTAGGCGGTAAAAAGCATTTTATCATTCATTATCAGCCCTGTTACGTCGCTACTGCAGGGGCTCAGTTCGTCTTTATTGATGGTTAAGGAAGATGAGCCATATCCCTCCACTTTTGAGCAAATCCGCATTGAGCAAGGGTGTTCAATGCGGACAGGAGCGTATTAATAATTACAAATGCATCCGGGCCCAACGGCTTAATGGGTCGCGGCGTTTATCCACCACGATCCACCGAGCTACTCATTTAAGTTTTATCATATTTCTATTTATAATATACTTTGAATTCTATGTAAAACTAACAAAATAATACAACGAAATGTGCTCGTATTTTGTTATGCTTTCTTTTATATTATTAAAATTGTTGTAGCAAACAATATAGACTAACTATAAATCATTCAGACCGCAAGATGGATTTCCTTAGTTACATTTCCTTATTAACAGTGGTACTTAACTTTCGAGTCACAAATATTAAAAAGAATTTCTATCGTATTATGGATCACCCACTTGGTAAATACTCGTATAGATAAAGAGTATCTATAAATAAAACAAAATTTGTTTTCTTAGGGGAAAACTTCATTTTAATCAGACAGTCTTTGACTCATTTTAATGGCGTTTTAGGACCAAATAGGCTGAGAAGTACCAGTGTTCCGCGGACAACTGTTAGTAGGCATGTGTTTATTAATTTATGCTGATATTATACGAAAAGATCAATAAAATTTGACTCAAACCAGTTTAGTCGAGCCGAACAAAAATCTAAACTAGATTCCGTTGCTGAAACATAATTTTATGCTGACTTTCCTGTGAGAATGATTGGTCATAATTCGTTTTTGGTGCGGAAAGAAATATTTCTTATAGGATATTAAAAGCTTAATTTGGAGTAAAATTATTAAAGTCATAATTGATTCGAGTCTAAGAATTTCGAAACATTCCTAACGCGAATGTGAACAACAAACTACACTAAAGAGGCAGCTAATTGGTGGCGACATTTATGTGTTACATATGTAAAATTAGGACTGAATTTAATTAAGTTTAATAGAGAAGTGTAGAAAGGTATATTTTTTTTACATAATAGTAAAGCTGATATAATACTCATTTAACTGGTAAAATCCGTGATTATAGAAGTATAAATTAATAATGCTCAAAATTAAAATGAATGATTACTGATTTCTGCTTAATTCTACTTTAACTAGTTCTTTATTTAAGTAGGATTCATTTGAAAATAAGGAGAAAAAAAGAGCCTCGTTATCGAAATATGTTATTCTCAGAGTAGCCAAATTAATAATATAATCTCAATTACTTTTTTTTTCTTTCTACATGTTTTAAGTTATCATTAAAGTTAAATAGCGTGTCTGAGCGCGACAATGAGATTATAACGTTATATAAATTAATGAAAATAAATATTTTGCATCAACTAAACACTTGAAAGTCTATTCTCCTAAAACGATATTTCATATATTTTCGAAATACCAATATGACTCCAAGAAACGCGTCCTTAATTTTTACAAAAATATTCTATAATTAAGGACGCGACGGAGTAGGAGTAATCACTGCCTAAGATATCCACGAAGATTGTGGATATAATTTTAACAAAAAGAACGATTTGAAATTTTCAGAAATTTTATTCGCGGTATCATGTTACTTCGTACGACTTATTAGTTTGTTTTGTTACAGCCCACCATCAGATAGCAACTGGAGGCGTACTAATTCAGATTCGGCGTTGCACCAATCGTGCACGGGCGAACAACCAGCGACTGCGCAACCCCTCTCCCCCCACCACCCGCTACACTCACATGCACATCCTCATCTACACCCACATCAGAACCACCGCAGAAGTATGTTTAATTTGAATCGTAATTCGTTGAACATGGCATTAATAAAAGGAGAATGGGCAATTTACTATGAGAGTTCGGCTATTTTTGCGTAACTGTGCACCTTGTTGAAACTAACGGTAAACGATAGAGAATTATTTCTAGAATGACTAGGAAAAAAAATCATTTTAAATTTATGCCGGAGTTAGAGGATATCTGAATATTAAACAGGGATTTTGAGGTTATGTCGTTATAATATCTACGTATATAAGAGCAATAAAATGAATTACCTATGTATTTCAAATAATTGATGACTAACAGATAGGCGAAAAATACATTCCTTTATTATAAAAAGGAAAGCTTTGATTTTTTATTGTAAAGGATAAACTCAAAAACTACTGAGCCTATTTAAAAAAAAAACAATATAATTTTTTACCAATATAATTCCTGACCTACATTATACTTTGACCAATATAATTCCTGACCTACATTATCAGAGTCAAAATACTTTATTTTGTAAAATTAGTAGAAGGAAGTTCGCACGTCAATTCGATCAATAACTTGAAACGTAATAGGTAGTTGTGGTTATATTGTAGTAGTTATTTAGCAATAGTTTTAATAGAGTTAATTTTCAATGCTGCATAATTTTAAAATTGCATTTATATATAATAAATTATAATTAAAGAGAAAAAATTCATTTTATAGGCCAGCAGAAGATTTCTATGCAATTTTTTTCTTTGTTTAAAGTAACAAGTAAATATGGATTTAAAACTAGGATTAACATGAATAATTACATATTTGTACTATGTATATATTTTTTACTTTCAATATTATTGTAAAGTTTGACCTAAAATTGTAACTTTTGTCTCATGTTTGGTGCTAGAATAAATCATTCATTAATTCATATATGTGGTGAGTCAGTTGACAACATATGTTGCTCAAATCTTACATTGCTAAGTAGCTAAAGTCCGTATGTTATAATACTGAAACAATGAAAGTACCTCAACACTCTGGTCCGAGATCATAAATAAGTTAATTTGACTCTAGCGGAATCAAAAATAACCCTTAATCTATTTATATATAAGGTCCATTAATGTAAAAAACTTGTTGCAGCTGCTGACATGCATTTAGATGTACTTGCGACATTAGGTATGAGTCCAACGAATCGGCCGCGATCGTCGTGTGAAATACCCAGGATACCAAACAACAACAAGTAAGTTTTCCCTATTTTATATTTTTCTTTTTAATTATTGGCGTTGCCTTTGTGGATTTACATTTTTGTGGTTTACTTTGAACATCATTTTTTCTGCGTTTTGTCTGTTATAAACGAAAGCCCAAACTCAATTTTGTATTTTGAAAGTGTTACCTGCGAGATAGGTACATAATAAGATACACGTAATCCTATAACAAAAGTATAAATTATATAAATATTAATAAATATCGACATCACACACATTGATCTGATTCCATAGTAAATAGCTTAGGCACCGACACAAAAATTATCGATAACAAAATTTTATGATTAAAATTGAATTATATATCGTATTCCAGCGGTGTAATATTATTCATAAATTAATTTTAGTGTATTTTGGAGTTAAACCGCTCAATATGCATATACAAAGACTGGGCATAAATACTGTTAGAATTAAAAATATACAAAATATTACTTTTGAATTTCGAATCTGTAATTTTTATATAATTGTTTATCGTCTTTTCTTATTTTCGCGCCAATACATTATACAATATTTTGTGATATTAAAATGGAGCGGGGTGATAAAGAGAACCGATGATTGCGTTACATAAACTAGGTATGGCGCCAAACAAAATTTTCAAATGTTTGTGTACTGGGCTATTGATAGGTACAATCAAACCATCTCTGTTTGTGACATAAAAAGTCTGGCTATTCACGTAGTGTTCGTATGAAAAAGGCGATCAAACCAGAAAGCAAAATATTTTATATCGGTTGATGAAGATGACTTAGGACGTGCAGACTATAAGGGACGCACTGGTCACTTCTTAACAAAAATAAAAACAAATAAGGTTATAAAATTAAAACAATTACTTAAGCGGCACGCAAAGGGAAATCACAGTAAATTTTTGTGAACAAACAAAATGATATTTTATTTGTATTATTATCCGACTTGATTATTATGACCGAGTGTGAGTGAGTGACCGAATCACATTTTTGTGAAAAAGGCATCAAGACATCGGAACAGATGTACCAAAACACCATTTTCGAGAAGGTAGTTTAGTCCTTAACAACATCATATTCGATAACTAAGAATGGTCCTTTCAACAAGACTCGGCGCCAAGTCATAAAGCTCGATCCACCAATGTTGATTAGAAATAAAAGTTCCGGGTTTCATTAGAGCTCAAGACTGGCCGTCTTCTAGTCAAGATCTTAATCCGCTGGATTATGATTTGTAGTCAGTTTTAAAAAGTACGGCTTGCTCTAAACGCCATGATAATTAAGAGTCCCTAAAACAATCCATACGATAAGCAGTTAAGAATTTTCTCATGGAATGAATGCTTGCGTCTATTCATCATCAGCCCTATTACGTCCCCACTGCAGGGGCTCAGGCCTTCCTTATGGATGGTTAAGGAGGATAGGCCATGACCCTCTACGCTGGCCCAATGCGGATTAGAGGGTATTAACGACTGCAAATGCAGCCGGGACCAACGGCTTAACGTGCCTTCCGAAGCATGGAGTAGCTCGAGATAATAATATTTTGGTTACCCATCCCGTGACCGACCCTTGCGAAAGTTGCTTAACGACTACGATCACGGGCCGCGGCGCTAATCCACTACACCACCGAGCTACTCGCAGTCTATAAGAGCGTGCGTCTATTGCTAACTGTTTAAGGACAAAGTTAAAAAGGTCTGTATTGTCACCAATGAAGTCCCTTCAGATAAGCTATATATATTATACGTTAATATAATGGCTTTATATTAACGTATTAAACTAACATTGTAATAGTAATAAATGTTATTTTCAATTAAAAAAAAAAAACTATGTAACAATATTTATTGCAAGTTTATGTATGGAAGGTAATATCTAACTTGTGTAATTTAAACATATTATTTCACAAAAAGTTCTAATCAACAATTAGTAATATATAGTAATAAATCAGTAATAATATGATTAGAAATATACATAAAATCCACCTTATGAAAAGTCTGTGTCTCTTATTTTCGTGGAATAGAGACTAAGTTCCGTTAGGTATTATAAGTGTTTTCCTGTTTCTCTACAATATCAATCAGCCTACTTAAATTTAACACTAGTAAACAACATTCTTGTCACGGCCGGCCTGATGTTGAGTAATTCATTCGGGATAATTTTCATGACGTCATTATAATGCTTACAATAAAGTTGATTGAGGTAAAAGTCGTTTGTGAAGTTTACCAATCTTTTTTACGTAAGCCAAAATACATTATCTCAAAAGTTATATTGTACCAATGTTAAAGTGAAAGAATAAAATTTTAAAAGATGAAATGTTACTAACGAATGAAATGTAATTAAGGTTTATGATTTTTTTAAATATTTTTTTATTGTAAGGGGGATGATGTGGTGTAATGAGTTAGTCAATAAACATCGCTTATCGTGAACGAACGTATTTTATTAAAACAACCATCGCTCCGAATATCAGAATATAAATATTAAATATCATAGCTTAATAATTTCTCTAACAGATGTGAAGAAAAACAGCAATATAAATAAGCCAAAACTTATCGCAAGTTTTTCTTTTGTCTTGAGAACTTTTACGTTGATATTATGGAAACTAATTGTATTAGCTACCCACTTGTACAATTGAAACATTGTATAGTGTGTACTTAATTATAGGAACACTTCACTCGGCACATTCATAAATAATTGTGATTGATTTGTCGTGCATGATTCAAACCAATAATTATACTATAAAAAAAGCTTTCAATGTCGTTCTACTATAAGTGCTGAAGTACGCTATAGGCAACGGTCTATTTTTGTCTTCAGTTTAGAGATAGATAGATAGTTTTTCACTATGATTTAGTATTGTTAATATACCGTATCTTTTTTTATTTATATTATAATATTTAACTTCATAATCTAATAGGACGTATTACTACAAATATCTGCTGGATTAGCACATGCTGTTTAATAAATGCTTTTACTCAACACTTATTTTGTTTCTTACTGCGACCACAATGACTAATATCCGATCGGGTACAGTAATTCCGATGACATGTGTTCGTGTGAAACACCCACGCTACATACGTAAGAATTTCAAAATGCTTATGAGCAATGCGATCATTATGGTGCAGTAGATCGAATTTGGTAGTGTAATAATTATCAGTTGTGAAGGTTCATTGTTTTCGTAGCTTTTTTTTACGATGCATATGACACATTCTTTGTACTCCATCAGTACTACAATAGAATACCTATCGTGCCCATATTAATATTGAAACTACATTAATGCCCGCTTTTACACAGATGCCAACATATTGGCGATTGGTATTTACCAATTGTTGGTGAAAAAGTTGGCGCGAAATCCGACAAAGCAAACGTGTGGATGCCATCATAATCAATCTTTGCCACAATGGTGGCTAAGGTGTACAGCAGGCATAAGACATTGAAACCAACTTATCAACCAAATAAAATTATCCACACTAGAAAGACGGGAAAATTCATCTACCTACAAAGACGGCGACCGGTCAAATGACTGCCCCAATTTATTTAATTTTTTTATTATTTATTTGCTAAAATTAGTAACTATAGTAATGAAACAGAGTATAATATATAATTATTTATTTAATTCACATACAATTTTTACATTTTAAAATTTTTTTTTAACTTTACAAGGGCTGCAAAGTGGCTTTTTGCAAGAGTAGCATAATTTATTTGTTTTATTTTTGCACTTTTGCATATAGCATTCTCGCCTTTTTCGACTTTCCGGATTTTGAAGTGTAGATCGAGAAGTAGAAGGTGTTGGTTCTTTGGGCGATAGTTCGGTTTCAGAGGGTCTCGGTTCAATTTCTACTTTGCCGCTAAGTTCACTTGCTAAACTTAGTATAAAATTCCTTTGTTTTATGTTGGTGCCTGACATTTTCTTATATAAAATGAAGGAATTTATCCCTGCTAGGTCCAAAATATTGAAAAATACCTGTACAGGCCACCTTCGAGATGCTGCTTTGACACTATATTTTTTTGCCATCTGGTCAGCCACATCCACGCCGTACTTGGTAGCATTGTAAAAAGTCACAGTTTCTGGCTTTTTCTTAGGATGATTTGAATCTATTTCAACATGCTGAGCAATAAAACGTTCTTGTTTCGTTTTCCTTGATAAATCGTAAGAGTACATCTATCAGATTTCAGAATTTTTGTTCCAAACAAAGTCATATGAAGTGATTTGACGTAAGGTGGAACCTCTCGTCGTGCCCTGTTCAAAGTTTCTACAATTGTAGTGCGTTTTGCGAGCAAGTTATTTGCCAAGCTCAACGATGTAAAGAAGTTGTCAGTGGTTACATTCCGACCAGTATTTGCAAAAGGTTCCATGAGACGCATTACAACGGATTCACTGAGGCTTTGATTTGGTGGCCTGCTTTCAGCTTTTCCTAAGTAAGGAAAGCCGTTGAGTACAAATTTTGAATCTACATCAACACAAAGCCAAAATTTAACTCCAAACTTATCAGGCTTGTTAGCAATGTATTGAAGAAACCTGCATCTAACCTTAGTAGAAAACAATTGTTCGTCTACTGTAACGTTTTCTCCCGGCTTGTAGCACTATAAACAGTTCTCAATGAATTTCTTCCAAACGTCTGATATTAGTGCGAATTTGTCTTGTTAAAGTCGTGAACTTCTCTCAGATCTGTGATCAAATCGCAAATACTTCATTATTTCTTTGAATCTGTCACGTGACATAACTTTTGAAAAAAAAATTATTCCCCTAGTTTTACTCCACAACTCATTTACTTGAATATTTTTTGCACCGTATGCACCTCGAGCATAACATATAGCGATCAAACTTTCCAGTTGTTCCAAAGTTAGTATCCAGTTATTGTGTCCTAGTTGTCTATTAGCTTCTTCTATAGTACACTTCTGAATATGTCTCAATATAGATTCGTCAATCAAAAGCCTCCACGAGTCTGACAAATGTTCCTTGAAATTTCTTTTTGCATATGAGGTAGGCCCTGCTTGCTCAGTTATAATATTGTGGCGTACCCGGCGACCACTTTGAGTAGATTCCATTTGAGGTGTCCATAAGGTACCGTCGATAGAAGTGATAAGACCTTGAAGCTCAGAATCTTCCAAATTATGACTCCTACCACGACCTCGACCACGAGCACGGCTGTGACCGCGGCCACGAGAACTCAACCTGTCAACGGTTCGTAAAGTTGCTAGAGGAATCTGATCTTCCAGGTCACTTTCATCCGTAGAGGAACTCGAACTGATAAATGGTACATTATCATCCTCACTACCCCGTTCTTCACTCTCAGACCCACAATCCTATTCATCTTCACAAATATTTTGCAATATTGAAAGGATTTCTTCATTTTGAAGGGCTCGAGACATTTTTCACGAATCACTTACAATAATTCTGACAAAATTGATAGGCAGTCGTAACTGTACTGACTCATTTGACCAGCATACTCCAAACAATGGACAGAGCGCACATTATTTCGTATTCTACCTTCTCATATTACAAATAAATACTTATCCGATATCAACCGTCAAATGACTGCCGCCGTCTTTGTCGGTATATCAAGATTTTAAACAATAAACAAAAGAGACGAGAATTATTTTCATACATAGTTTCATTTATCTAGTAATATTAATAAAAGTCATAAAGTCTCAGTACATAAAGTTAAATAGTTTTTGAGTTATTCAAAATTTAAAATCAAATTACAGTCAAATGACTGCTTCCGTCTTTCTAGTGTTAATGACAATTGATTGTAACACCGCCGCCAGACATGTGAACAAATAAGTGTTGGCATCTGTGACAATGGTATTTCGTACTATTGTCATATGTTTGATCACACAAGTGCGTTTTGCTGTTCCGTGTCGGTTTTCAAAACACGTAAAGGGATAAGTGTACAATTATTTGGATTCCAGCCACACTAGTACAAAGCCCATTGAAAACTTGAAACATAATCTGGTAGGTACGGCAATATGTGCCCAAAGTTTGAGCAGTTTTAAAAAGAAGTGACCTCTTACATGTGTAAGTATAGAGCGCGGACTTTAAACTAATGTGTTTTTGAACAGTGTGTACGAGAGCGGGGGGGACGGTGGGGGAGGCGGCGGGGGAGGGCTGGGCGCTCAGCTGTCGTGCGGTGAACAGAAGATGCCATGCGGCTCACTACCAAACCTCACCTCAGTGCATTTCCCACCGCCCCACCATCTACCGCATAGGACCTCGCCCGACTACAATCAACCTAGATATGTATGTCATACAGTACAATTTTACTTACTAATAGTATATAATGTTTCATTATCATGATGAACATATGGAAATCCTCGAACATGGGTCTTCCCCTTGTATGCGAGTCATATTCAACATTCGGGCTTAGTGCGTAGATTTGTGTGTATTAACGAATGAGTCGATCGCACTACGCATATACCGTCTAAAGCCCAATCGCCAAATAGGATGAATTTCGTACGTTGACCTTTGTGATCCTAAGAACCATATTTTAAGGTTTACTTTACTGTGACAAAATTGAATAGATGCATCTGTGCGAGCGCAACAGCAATATGTTTGCACGCGAGTGAAAGAGATATGCAATGCCGTGTCATTGTACGAAATTCGGCGATCGGACTTTTTCCTGCCCTATTGACAATGTAAATAAATAATGTAGTCTGGTCCTGGTTGCAACTGTAATATAGGTACTGATAATATTGGCGGCGATTTTTTTTTTATCTTAGAATAGAGCATTATTATGCATTATTATTATATTTAATCATTTTTGCATTCATAATACTGGAAAATATTCTTAATGTTTAAAAAATCCGGTTTATATCTGGTACTCTGGGATGGGATTCGAACCAACGACCTTTCGCAATCCGGGCGACTGCTCTATCCACTGAGCTACTCAGGTCCTAACAGGACGAACGAATTCTTAAGCATTTTTCATTAAGAATATTTTCCAGTATATAATTGTGAATGAAAAATTGATCAAATATAATAATTAGAACATATTTTCAATTTTATCGAAAGTTAAAATTATTTCTTCGGCTGTATGGGTGGACGTGGTGGCTGTTGGTACGGCTGTTGCCGTAAAAAAGTAACAATTGCTTGATGAATTTGTCAGTCCTGTTAGGTCCTGGAAAGCTCAGTCGTTAGAACAGTCGCCCGGATAGCGAAAGGTGGGTTCGAATCCCATCTCCGAGTACCACGGCAAAGTTGATAATTTTAGCATTTTTCATTAAGAATATAGCACATATTATTAAGAATATAGAACATATTATTAAGAATATAAAACTAAACCTTAAATGGCGAAAAACACGTCCCTTATGCTAAACCGTAGCTTTTGAGGTGATCTTCAACAAATTGCAGTTCCCATTTGATAACATAAGTTAGGAATGGTTTCCGTCGCAGAGTCCTACCTCGCCCGGCGCGGTTTCGCCGGGTGGTGGCAGCGTATCGCCGGCGACGGGCGGTTTGTCGCCCGCGTCCGGCTCGCCTGTGGGCGCGACTGTACCTCTACCGTCGACCTTACACCATCAGTACGATCACACATCCTCGCTCTACGATACACAAGTAGGTTCAGTTTTGTTGTATTTGTGTGTGTTTTAATTATAGAGTGGTAGCTTTCCGCTAGCGGCTTCGCCCGCGTGATAGACAGTTATCCGTTTAGTGAGATAAGAAGTAGCATATATATTAATTCAGAATACTAAAAAGAATCCCCTAGCAAAATCTGAAACCCCTGGCACTTGTAGTAACAAAGTTTCATACAACTACCATCACCAAAAATAATCTCGTAGGGGCCGAATGTAGCAATATCCCGTTTTAGCGAACACGTACGTCCTAAAAAGAACCTCTGTGCAAAATTTGAAACTCCTAACACTTGTAATGAGTGAGTGATAAAATATAATATATTATTTACTTATTAACAGTGCTAATAAATAAGATTTAGCGTCAAGAGTAAACGTACGCTTAAATCTCAATTTAAGTAATAGTCCAAATTCATATTATACAGAAAATAAGTACACCTTACTACCTTCTAGAAGTAAATATTACTCCTACTACTTATATAAAAAGTTATCTACGTCTCTATTTAATAATATGAATGTTGACTAAATACTAAGTCAGTTTCAGCGTAAATCTAAACCTTATTTATTGATAACTCTCTAAGAGATTAAATATAAAATATATAAAAGGGTGTTTTATTCTGTTTGACAAAGTTGATTCAAGTAGCGCTCCATTGGGTGCACCTTTCCCCTGACAAATGTGATTGAGACGACGCTCTAGAACGCTGTATTTAATTTGAGGGTTATTGAATCAAATCAAATCAAATAAAAACATTTATTTGCTCAAATATTGTGTCAGTACAGTACAGTATTGTTGAAACAAGACTGATGATTCAATTGGTAGGCTTTACTAGCGCAAACGCAGATGCACGACGCGCCAAATTTGTTGGGTTTACTGTACATCTTGATTTATTTAATCGGATTATTTCGGATGCAAAATATATTCTTCTCATTCGTTTTAACATAATGTGTACTTATGTAAGATTCTAACAGCAAAATAATTAACTCTGTACTTACAAAAATATGGGATATGCTGCACTTACCTACGAGAGCCGTTCTTAAGAGACAAATACTGTAAGATACAGGTAATGCGCTTCAAAGATGTATCTGGCAGATTGCGATATTTCAAAGCGCAACAAATGACTACCAATCAGGCTGATTCAAGTATGACGCCATCGAGCGATGCGAATCGCCATCTAGTCTGGTCTGGTCCCTGACGAGTACGAGTGAAATTGATACCTAATGAGTTGTATTTTACACCTTACGGTTATCAAAATAAGACTCATTATAAATTTTAATCTTACGTTAGGTCATCGTCGAAGTCGGTAATTTAATATGCACCATATTATCTAAGATTTACTAGATGAACTTGAACTTTCTGTACTCCAATAAAACGTTATTTTAAGAGTACCATGTCTGGTTATATGTCTGCAACTACGAGGTGTGCATTCGACTTTTAATTTTTTAGTAATTTACAGCCAGTTGACAAACGTCCATTAAAATTGACATTTATCATTCATTAGGGCTTAAAGGCGTCATTAAACCCTAATGAGCGTTTTTGCAACTGACCATTAGTTATTAAAAACTACTTGCTAGGTTTCTGTTTATATAGTTGTGGTTCAAGCGAGTTTTTTTTATTTAGTTATATTCATGTTAGATTTATAAAAAAGGAAATTTAATCTCTATTTATTTATTATCGTTAATATAATTCTTATTATCATATTCATTAATGGTAATTCAAATTAATCCCAAAGTATAATTTAATGGTATTGTTTTCAAATATGGTGCATCGGTTCCTTTCTGAAAATGGCTATCATGATGATTGACACTGAATAATAATAGTATTATTAATGCAGTTACTTATTAGGTGTAAACAAATACCACGAAGAATCGATTGTATAAGTTTTTTAATACTCGGCGTGAAGTCGGAATAAAAGGAAAAATTATCTAAACAATTTCAGGCCAAATGTAAATAAGATATGATTTTTAAATTTAAAAATTATGGTCATTTTTTACGTTCAGTAGTGATTGAAAATATCTGTATAAATTTACATAGAATGTGTGTAGAAAGATTTATTTAACTGAAGCTTGGTAACTCATTATCTAGTAAGGGATCGCCCATTAATCACGTGAGCATAGAAGGGGGCGGGGCAAAGTTTACAATGCAAATCTGCAGTCTGCCCAGAACTAATTAGCCGCGCCTTATGTGGGAACACAGGTGAGACCGCGGATTCATTTAGTGATCGCAACGCACATGAGATTCACACTTATAAAAATGGAAACCAACACATCTTGCCTTGTAGAAATACAATTGAAATTCATAACAAAAAACGGTAACTCTCGTACAGACAAAGAGGATTATTTTACCACGACGTTCATTACTTTTTTCATACAAGCTCGTCGCTTCCATCTTCCAATAGCAGTTCCTAATGATAATCATTTTCGTATAGTGGCATATTAACCGTTTTTGAAAATGAATACTGTACCCTAATGATATTACAATAAAAAAAGGGTAGGTAGATAGGTCATGTCAGTATTAATATGATGTTAGAAATGGTCTCCAGCATATACACACGCATATGGCACGATACTCTCCAATTATTCATAGACTATAATTAAACATGTCACAGACCAGACGAATGATGATTTAATGCATGTTTACTGCCTACATTTACCGCAAAAAAGAGTTAAAAAGTTCGATCAACAGTTCGACTTAAAAATGTTGATATCTAACATTATTATTTCTCCTTGTCTATATATTATTTGCCCGTGTATAAATAATGAAGCTTTTCAAGCGATAAAATAAACCTGACACTATGTATAAATAACACGAGGGCTTCGATCTTACTCGGAATCGGATTTTTTTAGCTCCGGAGTTAGATTGCGATGCTCCGAAGTCAAACCCTGGAGTTTCGGAGTTTCAGTCTCATATAGATTTTCAAATAAATGTAAGATAGAGCGTAGGCACTTAAAGTCGAATTGTCCGTTCTGTGACTTACATAATCTTTTTCACAAATTGTATGCGGAGTATTTACTCTTTCTTATTATGACACGTTATTTATTTTCTGATTAAAACGCAAATCAATTAAAAATGTATCCTTACGAATGAAATATGACATCTTGGTCTTTAGACAACTTATGTTGTTTCTACAGTTTCGCATAATACAGGATGGCATTTTATAATGATTATGGTACATAAACGCACATAATCAACGCTTTAGCCAGTATGCGCTCAGGTATGCTAATAAGCATAGTTTAAAGGTGACACTTTTTGAATTCAAGTAATCTTTCTACCCTTTTTTATTGTAATATGATTGCTGTACCCTGAATATTACATTTTTCACTTGTGTATGCCTCGATGTACTTACTGATCTTGCTATTTAAATCTCGTCTGTCTTCTATATAAACTGACCGGGTCTTTTAATGCGTGCTGCTTTGAAGTACTGTGCAGTACAGAGTTAAGACAATAAGTGGCCTGGCCTCCGTCCCACTGCTCACATACGCGGTCATCCTAGTTCCGCATGGACATCGATGTTCATATTATCTCAATCCAAGTTAATTCCAGGCACACAATCTTATGAGGTAGCCCCAATTTTAATTGACTGTTAACACTATTGAATTCGATTCAGTGATATGTGGACCAGTAAGGCGAAAGATATTAAAAATTGCTTTGAAAAAAAATTATCACGTGATTAACAGTCGTCTCCCTTCAATTGTGCGTAACCGTTCGAAAATTTAACATTTCCTTTGTTGTTGTTTTTTTTTTTGTTATTGTCGTTTTGTTTGTTTGCTTTTTACACAATATCATTTTTTGTTTATTTCAGAATCACTTATCTGTACCAAACACAAATAATTATCTTCATCATAATAAGGTTCGTTTTTCTTTTTTAACCTCCTTTATATTTTTTTCGGTTCACGAGTTTTTCTACTGGCGTTTGCTTGAATGCTTTGACGCCATCTTGCTCATATCTGAGCGCCATCTTATGTGTTTCACTATCAGAATTTGATGCTTCTAATATTATTAATGAATGCATGAAACCAAATTTAATATCAGCTTTATTCTAACAACACTAATTTTGGATCATTCAAAGCAAGATTTTGCTTTAATATCTATTTTAAGGAATTTATTTTTTTTACGAACCTCTTTTTGTTCATAATACATCTACCTTACTCACGTCGCATTGGGTTCTTTTTTCAGAGTAATACGGGAAAGATTATATAAATAGATTATAGCCTATGCCGCCCGCATATAATATAACTTCAAGTAGGTGAATTATTAAAATCAATTCACCAGATTTGGAGCTCATTCCACGAACCAAACGACCAAATATTTCCTTTTTATAATATTAGTTAAGGTTATAGGTTAGCAACGCTTCTTTATTTCAAATGTGTGATTATTATATTTGATCAATTTTGCAATCTGCTTATTTAAAGAATATTTTCAGTGCTGCAATCACAATGTTACACTGAAAATATTCTTAATGATAAATACTTAAAAAATCCACTTTGGCCCTGGCACTCTGAGATGAGACTCGAACCCATGACCTTTCGCAATCCGGGCGACTGCTCTAACCACTGAGCTACACAGGGTTACCTGAACATTGATGAAAATACACTCTGTAGTAGCGAAAAAGTAACAGGTGCTTGAAAAATTCATCAGTCCTGTTAGGTCCTGGGTAATTCAGTGGTTAGAGCAGTCCCCGTCTTGCGAAAGGTCGTTGGTTAAAAGGGATAAAGTAGATTTTTTAAGCATTTTTCATTAAGAATATCAAATGTGTAATTGAAATACGCCTAATTTTATATTTATGGCACCTGTTGTATTTTTTATTAGATTTTTAAACAAAATAAATATGAGCTTACCTTAAATTTCAAAATTAAGTTCCAGTTACATTGGAAAATAATATCATATAGATACGTAAATATAAACAGACCAAATATTTGCTAGTTATTTATTATATTTTGATTCCGTTTTTCTTTTTTTCATGATAAAAGGAAAAGTTCCATATTCCACTGTACTCTATTCACGGAGTGGAGCTAGTACTGAAAAATAATACACTGAGCATCACGTCGTGTCACAAAAAATTGCCACATACCCACAGTTAATTCTATACTTTATTTTAAACGTATAAAGGTTTTTTGTAACATGATGTGCTGTTGCTGAATGTACTGTAAATTGATCGTGCATAAAGTGTTTGCGAATATCAAAGGTTTTTTTTTTTATTACAATTTACATTGCGAATATCAAAAGCTTGATTTTCCTCTTTTTCTTATTATTTTGGTTCCTAATTAAGCTCAAAGAATTAAATATAATGAACTTGATAAAATTGCACCTTAGAAAGTACAATTTAAGTCCACGTGACATTGAGACGATGATTCGTTTCAGTGTCATAACAATTCGTCACGAATCGTCATGGCGTTTGTATGCAATCATGTGACAGACAGGACGCTTTACTAACTCGACTCCGTGAAAAGAGCATTATTAGAGCTGTGCATATCGACGCCCCTGACGAATAATCCGGTAATCGCAAAATCAAAACAGTAGAAATGAAATATTTTATTAATTTATTTTAGTTACTCAGCAAACACATAGTAACTGGCAAAACCAAAATGTGTCGTTTAGGCCGTAAACATGCGGGCGCGATGTCGGTGGAAATGCTTAAGTCTGTATGAACCGTTCTGCGTCGAACGAACGTAGCGCGCCAATTGAGTGATTATAGTATTGACTACTACAGTTATAACTAATTTTAAAACGTTATCGACATTTAAAATTAGTGTAATTAAATAAATATTTCATACTCTCGAACTAAATGGAAATATTTCAGACTTTGGAATTAAATAAAAATATACAACTTGAAATGAACCCTCCGACCGCTGGCGTCAAGTATGAGGCCTAAGACCGAATTAACTTTTTATAAAAAAAAAAAATCTTATGAACGCCCATGGTAATAAAAATGGTAAGCCTCAGTACATTATTACAGAGGTAAGTATTATTATTAAAAATATATATCTACTCTAAAGCACAATTTTGGATTGCCAGTTACTACGTGTTTACTTTCGTATGCTTCAATATCTTACATTGTTTTGTTTGTGTTTAAATCCATATCTAAATATTTTGCACTCTTATGCTCCATGAAGTCACGGCTAGGTTCAACGGAATATTAGTGTAGTGGTCCCTTGCCCGCTAATTATATTGAGTCCAGTGTTAGTGTCACATAGCATACATAATATCTGAAGCTTCTGTTACACATTTTGTTATTAAAATTCATATACAAATATTGTTATGTGTGCTCAACAATAAATTTGTCCTCTTCATGTCTATAATGGATTTATGATCTTATATTTCTGTTTTTGACACATAAATATCCCTTGTAATATGTATACCTACATATAATACTTTACTCGTTGATTCAAAAGTTACCTTTTTGCGTGTTAAGAAAGTGAATTCATAGAATAAAACATACCCAGTTAATAGTGATATGTTTGTAGATAATAATAGGAAAATTGTATAATAATAATTTATTCATAAACACTAGATGTTATATGATGCTGTGGATTCAAAAATTCGTCTTAACAATTTAAAATTTTATACCATTATTCGTCAGGAACGTCGATTATTCGTATAATTGGTATCAGTTATACATGTCATATCAAGTTCTTCATAAACGTATGATCTATAATGGATTCGCTTTGACAGTTCAGCAATATTTATGAACCTTGCTAACAATACACCTTACATTTTATTAACTAAATTGTATATTTACTTGCATGCAAAGCTTTTGCCAGCCCTGAGCTGTAAATATTTGAAACGCGTCACATTACTTTCACTGAATAAATCATTACAATACAATGGAGCGGTGATGTAATAAGGTGCTTATTAATTTTTCATTGTACATTCGATCTTATAACCATCGTGGCATGGTTCTTATTTATATTCACAGAGTTTATTGGGGCAAAGTTAATAAAGAGTAATATTTCGACTTTTGCAGAACATGTCACCGTTAGATCAGAATTGGATCACGTCGTCAGGTTACCAATCTCACTGTAGTCCGCCCTCTCAATATTCCTCGACGTCCAATATCAACATACCTTCTCCGACGGTAAGTTTATGGTGATACTCCACTGGTGCGCACAGGCCGCAACACACGCAAATGTATCGGATTTTCATGTATCAGACTCACTCATAGACGTAATAATGTATAAGATATCGCTCCATTCATTAGGTATTTCATCCAAGCTGCAAACCCGTCAGTGTGACGTCACCGACGTGCACAGCCTTTATTTATGTGCATTGAGGCATACGTGGGTCAGTGGATGTTTACCATAAGAGTCGCATATAAAATTTTGATCTCGCTGCTGTGGTTTAGTTTAGTAACTTAAAAGTTCTATTATTCCAAATGAATGTTTCCTATTTTATTTTATTCATAAATCAATATTTTATAATCAGATGGTGCACAGTCCTGGCAGCCCAGTGGAGTCACCGCAAACAGACTACAATTTCCATCAAGTGTTACTACAGCCATTCGAACAAATCACTATGGTAAGTACAAATGCTAATAGCGATGCTATTCTTGCATTTATTATAAACAGGCCAGGGCAACATAACAAATAAAATTATTTAATGATGTGCCAACATCGTAAAAAGACAATAGAAAATTGAGAAGATATTTGATCGTAACGTTTTATGAAAATGGTTAGTCTAAAATATTGATAATTCATCTTTAAAAGATGATAATGTAGTAATTATAAATATAAAATGTGTATCAAGTTCTTGTTTTTTATGTATTTGGTGTTCAAAATAATAATAAGTGATGTTTTTATTCTTAAAAAGATCTTAAATACATCACGTTAAATTAATTAAATACATCTAGCAAAGTGAGAAGTTCGAAATAGAAATATTATATATTGAACATTAACTTGGAACTACTTATTAGAATTTAATCAATAAACTGATTGTAGTTTGATAATATTATTATAATTAATAATAAAAATAAATCTTTATTAATATTCTTAATGAAAACTGCTTAAAAAATCCACTTTGTCCCTGGTACTCTGAGATGGGACTCTAACCCACGACCGTTCGCAATCCGGGCGACTGCTCTATATAGGACTGACGATATTATTAATCATTTTTCATTTAAAAAAAAAAACAGTATAGCATTGTGAATGCAAATTGATCAAATATAATATTAGTTTATTTGATAAGCATATATTGAGGAATATCCCCAATAACTTTAAATAAATAATTAGTTATATACATTAATAAATATTTATATATAATAACAAACAAATACAAATGACAATATTTAATATTATGTCCTGGAAAAAATACGGCTACAATCACAAGACTTCATTTAGTTAACTTTAACAGATAACCTTAGTTAACTTTTACAGAACTGTCAAAACGCAATTGATTTTTAACCTTACTCGATTGGTAAAGTTGCATAACTTGATGTGTTGCTTTTTGTACATATGTTATTACAAAAGCCAAATTTTTCCAATCAATTAGACACCATAATCTGTTGATAATAAAGGCTATAATTGATTTAGAGTTTTATGAAGGTAATTCATGTCATTATTCCAATTTTCTCAAATTGTAATAGTATTTACATAATTAAATAACACAATACCCGACACAAATGTAGCTCTGAAATGTGTGAAGTGTATATGTTATTAGTATTAACCATCATACTTCTATAGAAATTTCGTTTTGAAGTCATATTTTTATGTAATATCTTTCTGCGTAGGCTTTACTTTTGTATCGGGTACTTTACTTCTTCATATACAGTCAGCAGCACCTCAGGTTATACAAAACTGGCAAATTTCTCCACTAGATTTTTAACCTTCACACATTAAGAGTAAAGTTCAAAATCTATTGCATCAATTCGACATATTGTGTTAACCTAACATGCAGCAGTGTGTACAATTTTGTAACATTTCAATGCATCAATGGAATAGCAGGGAGTTGTAAGTAATGAACAGATAATATAAACAAAATAGTTACGCTAACCAAACGCTTTCCGATGTCAGGTACGCTTAAGTTTGTTTGGATACAATTCCCGTGTTGTCTAGCGGTTTTATAATGTCGAATTGTCTTATGTCCAATTCCTGAACTGTGCAGTAGCCAAGTTCAGAATAATTCATTCTAATATTGGCAAATTTTGGATAAATTACACTCCAAATTAAATCTGCAAAAATCTACAGAGGATTTAAAGTTTAAGCTATAAAATTAAGACATACATCGTGTTTCGTGTAAATAGTAAAATAAATTGCACATTGAGTGTCTCGCTTAAATAAATTGATTTGAACTTCCTCCTTTCAACAAATATATTTCACTACATATTTTGAAATTAACCAAAACCAAACTTCGCGTCAATCTTCTAAAAATTAACTCTTAAATAAAATAATTGCAACATTTTTAAATTCCTATAAATTTAATAAACATTTGTACTGCTGATGTCAGTATTGAATTATATAAAGCAGGAATTAGACACTTCGAGCATTGGCCGGTTCGGACATTGGACATACCAGGCCTCGGACATACTGATACTGAAAGACAATCCAGTAATTAAACTAAAGAAACCTAAACGTATTAAAATATGTGTTTTACTTCCATCTTATTAATTAATATATTTGTCTAAGGAAAGTTACAAACAAAGATTAGAACAATATTGGCACTCGCAAATTATTTTAAATACTTGACTGACTGCACAATCATTGATAAAATGCAGCACAGCATAATATATTAGCACAATAGAACTGAATCATAGATTTTTTTATGTATAAATAAACTTGATAATATATGTAAGAAATTGTGACTGGATTTTATAGGGCGATATATTATTATGTTGACAATGTCAACTTCAGTCACATTTCATTATTATTAAGCTATATGTCTATTAGTCACATACATGACATTTAAAAGTAATATGTTACAGTATATTTTGCACACTTTATTTATATATTTTTTCATTGAATATGGTCTTTTCAAATAAAATTATAGCAAATTATTTAATAAAATGTCCTTTATGTGGCACAGCTACAGCTTGAGTTTAAGACGCGGCATGGTGTACAAATTGTTTCAGCTAAAAACAAGTAGATTCTTTTCTCCTAGCTCCAATTACCATCTCATCTAAAATCACCATGAAGAGAACCAACAAAAACACAATTTTTCCTTTGTATTCCTCCTCCGTTCTCGTAATCCTAACACATAAAATGTTTTAATTTTTTAACCATGAAAATGCAGATGGTTGAGACGTTTTGCTTGGATTTTTTTTCCAAAAAAAGTCTTGCCTTTCTACATTCACAAGTGCTTGCAAAACACTTGTGAATGTCGATAGGCAAGAAACCAAGCAAGGGCTGCTTTTTTCCTCTGGTTTATTTCGTACAAAGAAGTCCAATGACCATTAAGACACTTTCCATTACATAAAGAGATGATTTTTCCGTTAAACCTATTCATAATGACAATTAGTACATCAGCCGCGTCTCTCCCCGGTAATCGTCAACGTGTGTAACTGTGTGGATGTTGGCAAGGACTGGGCGCAGTTGGTGCAGACGCTCGTCGAGTCGGGCTGGACCGCGCACGTCCAAGTCACGGAAAATGTACGACACATACACACTACGCGCTATACGTCATAAAACGCCCGTTGAGATGCATCTTACCTATTATTTGTACATAATATTAATAGAACCGGATATATTAATATTAATAAACTTGTAGAACAAACAGAACAAAATTTTTAACAGATTAAGAGCATTTTTTTTATATAATATAATAAAATAATAATTATATCTAGAACAAGTTTAATTCATATTATATTATGAGTCATGACGGGGATGACAAAAAATTAAAATGAGGGTAAAATTAAAACAAGTTTGCCTGTTACAGCACATCTTTTAGGAATATAGTCATAGGTTCAAAATAATAAGTTCGGATGGAGACTCTAAAGTAAAACAAAATATAATTAAAACACAAATATCGAATGGGTTTTAGCAGTTTAGCAGTAAACAGACTATAAAAAACATTTTTACTGTATTTATTTTAGGGCTCCCAATTCCGCAACGAAACCACAATATCCGTATTTGCTAAACATTTTTAATCCCGCGGGATCTATGAATAGATCTGCGGGACTATTTCCTTTTTATTGTAAATTCAAGTGTAATTGAAAGTAGGTTTGCAGGAAAGTAGGCAGTAGACCCTGGATTCTGCCTTTGTAATCCCGCAGCAAGCGGGACTGAAAATCGACGTGGGATTTCGGTATGCGGGATTGACAGCTCTACTTTATTTAAATAAAATAACAATGGATAAACAACTTTTGAATAAAATGTGAATTGCACTGTAATTAAAAAAAACTTAGTAAATAGATATTATAAAAATTTTAATATGCAGGACGTGAGAAAATTTAATAGTTTCGGTGATATCGCACCGTTGCATCACAAATAAAAATAAGGGTAGAAGCTTCTCAACGGGAGCAGTTAGTGAAATACATTCTTGACAAATGCCAGGTGTATATACTTTAAGATAACACGTAACTTGACGTTTTAATTGAATACAAAACTATCCTGGCATTTCTTGAAATGTATAGTTTACTGAAAACAATGTAAGTTATATTTGAGTTGATTCTATTTTACATTATTTTCAGTTGCGATTCGAATGTGTTGTGATTTTCATTGCTTATTGCGATATGGCAAAAGAGCCATTGCGAACATGAAATAACACGATTACTGTAATTATTATTTAATGCACTTCATAATAATGTCAATAATTTAGTTTCATTATTTGACAGGTTTTATTTAGTATAATACAAATTCGATATTACACAATGTTATAAATGCTAATAGCATAGTCTTTATAGTTCTAACAGTGGGCCGACGGAAGCATTCGTGAGGGCGTTGTTGGGTGTAAGGGGGGTGGTAGCGAGTACAAGCTGCCATACAAACGCTTGGGACATACCGGTTAGGAGTGACACACAAGCGTGAATTTACGTATTATTTTTACAATAACGTTCCATACAACGTGTGCTGTTGATATCTATATATATTTTTAACATCATGTTCTTGATACTCTAATAAGCATATATGTGGAAAAAACATTAAATAATAAGGCATTAAAAATGTCTAGAGTCTACCAAAAAACGACATTTAGCGCTTCTTCAAAGACGTTGGCCTACTGTAAAGTCTTTACTTTTTATTAATTTGCTATTGATTTTTTATCATTTACTCAGAGTACAATTTCATTTTGTAGTATCGTTTGACAAATTATTTTAAGCAACATTATGTTGGTGCTTACATTTCCTATTCTCGATATATTTTACTTTGTAAAGAGATGTTTTTGTAATTGTTATAATCGTTGAACTAGCTGTACAGAACTTGAAAATGTTTATACCGTCTTTATTATAATTATGTATTGATAACTGGGTAGTACTTCCTATTTTAGACCACAAAATCAAAGCATGGGAAATTACTGTAGCATAAACCCAGATTTTTTAATTCGAATATGTAAAATGATGTTACAAACTGGCAGTGAAAATAAAGGAAAATTAAAATATTGATATTACACAATCAATTTTATTACAATCTGTTTTTCGGATACTGAAATCATACCTGCGGATAGTTCAAGTCATCTGTGCGCACGGCGCTATGTTTGGGTGAGCTTGCAATAACACAGCTTTCCTTTGTGTGACAGTGACACTTCTGTCGTTTTCCGACTCCGAGCAAAACGTGTGCTTGATGCTTTTTTGAATGGGTACAGTCGTTGTCGAAAATGTCTTGTTCTTTTTTGACATACAATCGGATTTCATAATTAACCTTTATTGGGAGCAGCAAATCTGAAAAATCGTATTTTTATTTTTCTACTAGTGATTCTGAGTAATAAGTTCAACAAGCATGTATTTACCAAATTATTTTTTAAAGTCCATATTTTCTATCATAGCAGATTACCATAACTACATCACTTTGTTTTAAAACAATCTACCTACTAATAATTTACAATAGTTACGGCTCGTTACAGTTATTCCTTTTTATTTTCTATTTGTTGAGATTACTGTAATTTGTATAAGACAGTACCTCTTGTCACACACATAAAGTCACTGTATATGTACAACGACCCACACATACCGCTGTGTGCACAGATAAGTTGATCTAACTACACAAATATATATAGTTATATGAAATGATGTAATAACATGTTATGTAGTAAAATTGAATTGTTACATCTCATCCTATTTCTGCAAAATAATTAAAAATTTAAAGATGGCTTGGACGGAGTTGTGAAAAACATCTGATATATAATTGAAATTCAGCATGTATTCTGAAAAGTCGTTAATAACTTTCTACTTCTAAGGAACAATATTACTGCACTAAATGACATCCGTACAGCTGTATATGATATTCGTCCAAAATTATTTATATAGTTAACGCCAATGTTCAAAATCGCTTATTCAAATGGCAATTTTAAAGATGAAAATAATCCTGATAACAGTTTTAAAATCATTTTACTGACTCGAATTAAAAGTAACAAGTATACACATAACTTATCATAGATTTTAAGCATGATCTTAAGGTTTCTTAGTAACTTAAAGTGCACTTTACTAGTGTTATAATAGGGTACTTGACATCAAAACGATAAATTAATTACAAAAAATATTTCAACGTAAGAAATCGTGGAATGTTGTAGAGAGTGGATTTTTGAGATGGAACAGTAAGGGCAAGTATTTTTAAATATTATAATTTTTGGAAATAGGGGACATTAATAATTTTTTAAGATATGCAAAATACATTCGCAGATCTTGGAAAAAAATGATAATACCTACAAAAATAAATGCATTGTGCTTATCGATCCTATTTCATGTGGGATTTAAACGTTAATCTAGAATCTTTATAGTTAGGTGTTGGAAAAGATAGAAATCGCCAAAACATTGATGCACTTTGCTGAAAAATGAAAACAACTCACCTTGGTGAATTGCCATTACTTTAAGGAATATAACTTCGTTTTGGTCAATTATAAAACTCGTTGCTCAGTCAACTACCCTATTCATCAAACTATTTATAGGTATTTCATTTTACTTGTCATGGTGTCATGTGAATTTAATTTACCTGCCTGCTTTACATTTTTTATAATTATAAACAATATTCCGCTTCGATCGTAATATTTTGAAACAAATGTAGACTTAGTGACGTCTTGTTGGTTTTTTTATTTCAGGTTTTTCTGCATTTTCTCAGTGTTCCTTTTTTATCGCTTCTCATGTTGCAACTTTTTTTTTTATTATGATGTTTATCGTATTGTTTCGATTTACAGATGGACCAGCCCGTATCTAATTACAACACTACATATATCAATCACAGTTCACCGCACTCTCCGCAGACAACGAATACGCCGCATACGTACTCCCAGGTGAGTACCGCTCTATTTTTATATATAAAGGTATGTGCTGGAAGATGCGCAGCCTAATTGTTGCTCGCGGAACATCAAAACTGACAAATATATGAATTGACATTCAACCTTGAACACTTGACGAAAGATCCGTAGCATTCTAACGTATACTTCCGCGATACGATTAACGTATCTTCCATCAGATTTGCATCAACTCTTAGTGCCAATGGGGTTGTGTCCTACAAATTAAAATACAAATTTCTGTTATGAGGTACTGTCGTCTAATAACGCCCATATATTTTAATAACAGTCCCACACTGATATCTTTACACTAGCGGCACGCTATGATGGCCGTTTTGACATATTACAATAGTAATGTGGAATGTCAATTTATTCTCGAACAAAAAAAACAAATAAGTTTTGTTTTTGTACCTGATTAAATAGGTTTAATAAAACAAAAATGTAAATGTTTATTTAATATATTTGAACGAACTGAATATTTGAATGAAAATGAATATACATACTTTATATGCACACAAGAAACATATGAATACAAAAGATACCAAAAAAAGTGCCACAAAAGGCCATATTTAATCAGATTCGTCCATACTACTATTTTCACTGTCGTCACTGCTATCATCACCTACATTAATTATAAGTTCGTTTTCTATAATATTATCTATTTTCACATCTCTTTCATAATCTTCCCTTATTAATTTAACAGTTCTATTCACAACCTTTTCCCAGTCTCCTTTAGTCACATGTTCACAAGCTTCTTCTAATAATTTTAGCATTTTTTTTGTGGTAAATGGGGGTTCTGTATTGTGTCTTGCAGCATATCCCTTAATTTGAGCCCACACCAACTCAATCGCATTATACTCACAATGGTAAGGCGGTAACCGTATAACTCTGTGCCCATGTTCTAATGCTATTTCGTCAATGACGTATCGGATCTTGGTTGGTTTGTTTTCTTTTAAAAGACGTACTAATTCCGCTTTTAACATATTCATGTTTGCATCTACGCCATTTTTACGAAGCCATGCGACGATGTCAGCTTTCTTTTGGGATTGGGCAGGTGGCTTGTCAATTTGCATCGAGTGGTATGGGGCGTTGTCCATAATTATAATAGATGGTTCAGGGAGGCTACACAACATTGAGGTAAACCATTCAGTAAACTTTTCTCCATTCATGTCTTCATGATAGTCTCCAGTGGTTTTTGACGCAAAAGCCATGAGAGAACCTTCGACAAACCCGTTGATGGTTCCGGCGTGACAAATTATAAGTCGCGATCCTTTTCCAACAGGAACTTTGGACGTAGATGCTGCTGTGTCATCGGTCCAAGAACGGCCTACAGTATGGTTAGCATTAAGCCATGTTTCATCCAAGAACACAACATTTTGCCAATTTTTGATTTCTTTCACTTGCCGTAAAAAAGTATACCTTGCCATCGCTATATCAAATCTTTCCATCAATATTTTGCGTTTGTTACATTTTTTGTATCGAAATCCTATGGTCTTCAAAATCTTCGTTAAAGAACTTTCCCCACCGAAGAATAATCCAGCTTCCTTCAGTGAATGCACCAACTTTTTTCTTGTTGGATACTTGTTCCGTAAATAGTAGCCGTAAACATGTCTTCGGATAGCATCGGCATCAAAGCTATCGATGCCTACGACTGGTTTTGCTCGTTTTCTCTTTTTTGGTGTGTGAAGTTTATTTTCTTCTGTGCCAGTCTCGCCATATTTTTCTTTAGTTATTCGTCTAACAGTTCGTTGTCCAATATTAAGCGCATCAGCTACGCGTTCAACCACTGACGTTATAGGTAAAATTGGCCCTCCATTTTGAGATTCACGATCAAAATAGTTCCGAAGGCGTATTACGAACTCACGTGTCTGACTATTTAAAACAGTTCTCTGCGTACGTTCGGTCATATAGACGAAATCCACAACAAAGGGCTTGAACAGAGTCCAAATTAACGAGCAAGGGTCAACAGTAATGCAATATCAATATTTGAAATCCAAAGCCAGGTCAAAACTATATCACAATCGCATTGCACTGACAGTTTATACTTTTCGAAGCAACGTCAATTCGAAACTGCTTTGTTTTGCATTGAGCATTGACGCGAGTTTGCCGGAGGTAATAGTTGTGCTAGCCAGCGATCCTATGTGACGATCGTATTAGATTCCATTTTTAAAAATTTTCAATTTAGAAAACCAAATGCCGAGTTGTGGTATAAATAAGTACACCAATCATATATCATATAAAAATAAAAATTTTACCTTTTGTATGAAACAGCTGATATTTTTTGCGATTTCAGAGGTAGCCACATAGTGAAAATTGTTCATATTCACAAGTACATTCACCCCTTAAATGGTGCAAACTGATTTTTCTACACTTGTATACATTTTAGAAATCAATTTAATAAATTAATTTTTGGTTCCTAAAACTACATTCGATAAAACTTATGAATCTCTGCACATCACTATCGTCAATAAAGTAATGCAATTATTTCCTTCAAAGTCGTTATCAATTAATACGGCACTTCATGAGCGGACAAACGTCAAAACGGCCATCATAGCGTGCCGCCAGTTTAAATAGTAATTTTGCGTTTACCTTTATCGTTTTTTTTGTAATGAGATAATAAATTTATCCTTAAAAATTATAAAAATCTAAATTTGGTTCCATAATATCATCGTAGATAAGAGAAATTCATAGTTCAAACTTCATTTATTCAAAGAATACCAATAAACTTCAAATATTCAAAGAATATTGAAGTTTATTGGTTTATAATAATATTTTTTTCTATATTTAATCACCGTGGGAGAGCCACGCTTCGGCATGAATGGGCCGGCTCGACCGGAGTGATACCACCGCCTCACAAAAATCCGACGTGAAGCAACCCTTGCGTTGTTTCGTCGTGTGAGTGAGGGTACCGGAGGCCCAACCCGTCCCTATTCCCTTCCCTCTACCCCTCAACCCTTCCCTCCAAGGCCGGCAGCGCGCTTGTAGCCCCTCTGGTGTTGCAGGTGTCCATAGGCGACGGTAATCACTTACCATCAGGTGATCCGTCTGTTCGTCTGCCCCCATCCTAAAAAAAAAGTATTATTTCAAAATTTCGAACTCATTATAAACAATACGACTATAAAAGAAATATCATTCTACTTTTTTAATACATTAATTTAGAACAGTAGCTAAATCCTACAACAAAGCTACAAACTATAGGAAGAACTATTCTGCGCAATGTAATAAGTCAAAATTATTAATATATTTTTGTATCTGAAATCGAGATCGCCAAGCTTTACCATTTTACGCAGAAATCAATGTTGAAATGTAATATGACTCTTAAACACATATGTAATTAAAACAGTTACATAAAACATAACAACTTTTATAAACATAAACGCACAAATAACAAAGATTGCCCAGAGATACCCATACGTTTTTCGCTACCGTAGCACTGTGTGGCTTGAATTTGTATCGAGTGTTTTCGGCCGACTAGCAGCAAATCCACAAACATAGCACCGTTTTAATCGCAGACTATTATTACTATATACTCAGATATTAATGGACTATTTTAAAATAAAATAAAAATGTCATCTAGCCTATTGGTTACTTGACTATTTTGGGAAAAGTGAAAACGGTAGCTCTCATTATGTGCATCTTTAAATGCAATCTAATTTGTTGGTTTTTGGTTTTGGTAGGCATCAGCGACGGCGGGTACGACGGACAGTAGACGGGGCGCGCGGGACCCCGTTCCGGGAGGCGGAGGATTTGCGGCGCTACAGCCGCTCGCCTCGCCCCCTGCGCCCCCCACACCCGCCACGCCCGCCAGCATACCCGATATCATCCTCACAGGTACCCTTTTTTTGACGGGGAGAAATGCGTTCCGCACACTCGCTTCCCTCAACGCGAGGTCCACTAGTTATGTGAGAGTCTCCTCTGCGGACCCACTCCCAGAATGTGGGATAGTCAAAAAGCAGGGGTATATCCACTAAAACCCACCAATGTCCCACCCTACGTGAGCTATACGTGATGACGGTCCCCAAGAAACAAAAGGTCTCTTGGGGAGCCCTCCCGCAGCCCTCATTTCGTCTTGGCCACTCCGCACATCGACCAGTGTGTGGTATGGCTGGGCCCCGGCTGGGGTGCGAGTAGGGAACTCCCTCTCCTATCCTCACAGGTACCTAGCCCTGTACCACGAGACCCCATACACATTATAAATACAGTGGAATCCGTTTATAATGACATTGATGAAAGTAAATGACAAATAATTGAAGTCAAGCATATGTATTCTTAGAAAATTATCAATTGTTAGGTATATATTTGTTAGGTATATATTAGAAAATGAACAATTAATATCCAATAAAAGAAATAATAAGCGACAAGGCACTATAAACGAAGTCATAATAAACTTTTTACAAATAATTTTATACTAAAACCAAAGTCAGCTCTGTAATGACGTCATTTTAAGCGGTTGATCAATATAAAAGGATTCTACTATACATTCACTGCCCCCCCCCCCCTCGTTTATTATGCTTAATAGAACTTTTATTTATATACAAAAATTGCTTTTATCCAATTTTTTGTTAATAAGCTAGGTTATTTGAATCATCGTTGTGTTACTATTATATTATTATAAATATCAATTCTAGATTACTCGGGCGAGTTGGACGCGGGCATATTCGGCGGCGAGGAAGCCCAGTTGCGTGCAGGTCTAGATCTAGACGATCTAACGTTATTAGAGGAGCCCAGTGCATTACTGCCAGATTCGGCGGTCGAACACGAATTCCGGTTAGACCGATTGTAGTACCGAGCGTACCGAAAAACCGGTCTCGTAATACACGTGAATGAAATACCCCGCTTTATTACTAACGACTACGAGAGCTGTCGATATATCACTCGTAAACAGATCTGTCAAAAAGAAAATTCAAATCGAACTCTTTGAAATGTTTCGAAAGTAATATGTGATCGCCATTGGATGCTTTGAGAAATTGCTACAACATATACAGAATAGTCTTGCACCAAATAAAAGACGCAGAACGTTTCTTATAACAATACGAAACATCAATATGTAATATAAAAAAAAGAAACTGACAAGAAATGAACGTCTTCTTGTTCGAAAAACTGACAATTTTTTCTCAGATTTGCGGACCATAATTATTATAAGAGCATCTTAAGCTTTGAGCGATCATCAAAAAGATTTATTTAAGAACGACACAGCTTAATGTCTATCGGATAGTTGATTTCTAAAGAGCGGGACTTATGAGACCGTAGTATGATAGAGTACGTCGTAGCAGCCCGTCGGTCGCCGGTCGTAGCGGCCACGGGATCACGACTACGGCGTGCGAGAGACTGGGGGAGAGAGGGAGAGATGGGAGGAGTTTTACTACGACTATGAGAGGTCTACGACCGCAAAACGCATTCCTACTATGATTCCGGGCCTCGGACGAGACTCCCTATACTTCATGACAATTTCTATCGTTTCAAGTCTGAGTTAGTGAACGTAGAACTCGGGTGTAGCCGTCTGTAGTGTTAAGGTGTGATTGGGACGCGCCACGTCTACGGTACACTGTTATATAAATGCGAATGCAAGTGTTCATTGTGGTTTTAAATAATAAAAAAAGTTTTACTCATGTTTCTAAATACGGCGGGTTAGAGGTACGAAGTAGTAGATTTTAGATTTTTTAAATGGTAATTAATTAAACGATCAATTTATCGGCGATTCTTTGTACAGCATGAAGTGATTATATTTTTAATTAGTATTGTGAATATTTACTCGAATATCATTAGGGAATTTGATTCGGATTTAAATGGAGACATTTTTTTTTATTATTATTAATTGTTCTAAGTGCAAGGACTTACGGTCATTTCTATGTAAATAAAAAAACTTGAAAGTGTTCACTTTATTGAAAATTGCATTTAAATCGCTAAATATTGCATGCTAGTGTGTATGTTGATTTGCAAACATATTGTTTACATTAGTTCCTAATGTGCACTCACGACGAACGATGCTTAATGCGTACCGTTTCTTAAACACCACATTTTATATTGTACATATAATATAATCTAATGACTCGAGTTATATATCTACTGCTCGTGTATAAGATCATATTTCTCGAATTATTAAACTAGAATTTCATAAATAAATACAGATATAAAACTTAATATGAGAACAAAAAGTACTTTTAAAGTTAAAACCTGTTATCTGACACTATAGCTTTATTACGGGACAGCAAATAAAAAATCTGAAAGTAAATATAAGTTTTCTTTGGGAATATTTTCGATTATAGCTGTGGTGGCTCACGAGGTGGCGATTGATAACACCGCGTGAGAATTTTATAATAACAGACAAAACCTTATTTGGAGAAAGCAATTTCTTTTCACTATGGCACATTTACGTTATATTCGTGGATGGGTTCATGCGGGTGGTGAGCAATTTCTGTGCTTATTTTCATTGGTCGGTCATTGTAATGAACCCGCAAAAGCGCTTGCATAATGTGTTAATTTACAGTAGCACCAGTCACCGGTTTTACAGAATTATTGTAATTAAATTTTCTTAATTACAAAAACTACTATATTTTAATAGCGTATTTTTAATGTCAATCTCTTAAATGATGGCCCTGTCACATTAGTGTCATATAACATGATTTTACTTTTAAGTATATGAAATTCAAATAGTGAGAAACATATTTTAGTATACTAAACGACTTGTGTTAAGGAACAGTATGCTATTACATTTTAACGTTTTCATTCAGCGATTGCTCAAGCATTGACTGAACGTCACATTTAGGCGAAACTTTAAATCATAGATCCCCCTAGAGTTTACTTGACGAGTCCGATATCGCAATAATGCATTAACATCTCAATGTTATTTATCATAAAACACAGATTCCTTTAACATGTCTATGTCTTAGTGTAAGAGTTTTAGAGCAATGTAAATAGATATTTTTTTCTGAAGACCTAATCAACAACAATGAACATGGGCCATGTATCTATAGTGTTTATTTCTTTATAGATATATAAATATATATATTTGAATTTACATATTTTTAATATGTGCAATATTTTATATATTTCGTGCACTTATTTTTCTATGAAATTATTTAATGTAACTAAATTGAATCTAATTGTCATGTAAATAGAAGTTAATATTGTACTTAAAATTAAACGAAACGTAGTTTTTTTTTTGTCATAATAATCACCTTGTCCCATTGTTGTAGTTAGGACTACAGAGTTGTTATTGATGTTTTTTAATAAGCTTTTGTCGCAAAACATATCTAATGTACGTAAGAGTGGTCGCGATGCTGTATGCCGGTATGTGGGGGTCAATTCTAAGTCGATTGTCGACACGATTACGAAGTTTAAAGTTTTTTTTCTTCACCTGAATGATGTTTGCTGTGAATACTCGACACCGGGTCAGAGCGTATAATGCATTTTCACATTAAGGTTTAGAACTATCTGAAGTTAAACTTTAAGTAGTATATAAGATTTTAATTATTTAGTTTTTAAAAACGTACTGTGCACTCGCAACATCGACTTTAATTTTCTTTATATATAATAATCTATATTTTAATATTATCCGAGAATAGAATTATGTAAAAAGGCGATGGGAAAATGTACAAATTAATTTTAATAAAAATGAAACGTACGTTGATATTGCGAGGGCACTGTCGCACCACTAGACACCATGTTTTTTCTTTTGTTTTTTTTTTGTAAATGCTCATTTTATTATGTTTTAAGAGTCTAGTCATCAAGTTATAGAATTTCAATGGAAATAATGACCGTTTTAACACTAAATTACTCGATAGTAATTTCGTGCACTACTCATTCCATGGATGGCGTAAGTTTGACGGAATGGCTCGGTGATTGGTGTATTATCGTTTTATTTGAAAATATAAGCTGACTCTTTACAACAAGGTGCAATTTTGAACATAACGACGATAAGTTCAACTTACAGTCGTCTTAAAGGGTTACATAATATAATGAAGTAGGGATCGTATTCTTGTGAATGTCTATTATATTAATTATATTAATACGTGTTGAAAAAATTTAAACCTCTTTTGACGAAAATAAGAAGCACAGTTTTTTTATAATAATGGATAAAACTGTTTAAAAATATGAATAATAATTGAAAAATATGGAAAATAATTTAAACATAGGATTAAAAATATGAATAATAATTTTCGATCTTTGTGGTTTAATTTCGACAACTGAACAATCACCAGTTGTATTAAATCGATAATCGTTTACAAATGTACCGTTTACTCGATGCTAAGTATTTCAGTTTATTCTTCAAAATTTTATTTGTATATATGCTGATCGCAGAGAAACTAGAGCATCTACTTGAAAAAATCTTTCGAAGAATCCGTGCTTATTTATGACATAATAGTATTATTCTGTTACCAAAATAAGTACCTATCTACTTATGAAAACTCTGATTACTTATTATTTTTTTTATAGACCCATAAGGATTGAAGAGATATCATTTTTCTATTTTCATATGAAAGGGAATAATCCGTAGTATATGACGACGTTAAAAGCCTATTCGTCACGAATTTACTGATCGAAATTGCACTTTATTGTCAATTATAGTTACTTGTCAGATATTAACAGACATTTTGTGTACTAATGTGCACTATCCTTTTATAATAGGCTACTTGACTCTTATTTGATAATCTCAGAAATAATTGTCTGATTATACAAAAAAATATAATATATATTTGGGAACTAGAAAATCATAAGACTTTATTCTAAAAGTTTTCATATGCTCAAAGCCATTTTAATGTTATGACGTCATACGAAATATCAATGCAGGAGACCTCGTGAAAATCGACGTCACATCATGGCAGATAGCGTATTGGGCGATCCAAATAGAAAATAATTTTGAAATTGGAATCATGCAGCCATTTTACATTTTTATTTGCTGTAATCGATATATTTTGTTTTCGTCTATAAAAAATTACACAAAATACTCGTTTATTACTACAAATTGATATGAGTAAAGTAGCCTATTGAATGTTATTGATAATATGCTTTATAAAGTATAATGTTGCGTTCATATATAATGTTTATGTACTGTATGACAGGTTTATTAATAAATTATCGTACTTTAAATGTGATAATGGAAAAAAGCACAACATGAAAACAGCAAAGCCTAAATATGAATGTTGAAGTAAAATTCTTATGATCTTGAAAATATAATAGTGTTTTTTTTTTTCTATTAAAATAATGAATTTGCAATATAAAAAAATGTTTTAAACTGCTGTTAGAATTATGAGGTTTATTGAAAATAAAATTTTATTGGGTCTTGAGTCTTTAATCAGGTGCAATATGGTATATTTTTTTGTATGTTAGAAGTTTATCTACGTGCCATCAATTATAAAAAAAAAAATTTTGTTGAATATAAAACACATCTAGTTACCACAATATGTTATTTTTTCATAATTTATTTTGAACTTAATTATCGATTCATTAAGACTTAAATTGTCAGTTTTGCATAATTTGATGTGATGACTACTCTTTGAGAGTTCAATCAAATCTTGTTGAAAGATACAGTCGGAATGATTGGTATCGAACCGTATTTTGTATATAAAAAGCAATTACAGGTTGAAAAACCTTAATTTGGAACTAATCGACTTACGGAGTAGCTTTTTGGTCACCCATCCCGTCACCGACACTAGCGAAAACTGCTTAACGACGATCGTGACCAACGGCGCTTATCCAATACGCCACCCACGGCGATTACCCAATACACTAACAAATTACTCTTGCAATCTATGTTATACTTTAGATGATTGTCCGCATTTCGCCTATCTAGTGAAGTGAAATATTTATTTTGATAAATAAAAAAGCGATGCTGGGTTTGCTTGAACTCTGGGATATTTCAGTAAAATTTACATCAATTTAATGCGAGTTGTCACATTCTTTGATTTTATTGAAAATACAGAGCGTTGGAGTCATCGAAACGTCAAAGATATATTTAAAAACATTTAAGTGCTTTTAAGTGCAGTTCAAATACAAATGCAGAGCACATTGAATTATCATAAGAGGATAAATCTCTTCTGTCAAATTTATATAA